ATTATTACTTGAGTAAAAGACGAAGCACCTTCGTATTTATTAATTATTGTTCATTGAACGGGAGTTGGTTTGTTCCGCTTGAAAAGTCAACTAATTTCCGATGAATAGCAATAATTACTTGCTTTTAATTTAATTTCTTCGTTCTTCATGATTTACTTCAAGTCCCCATAAAACATTTTTAACAATTTACATTCAAGTTACTTTAAAACAATTTTCGGAATTAAACTTCCTACCTATAGGTTCACTCTTTTTAGATACCTGTACTAAAATTAATATTAGGAGATAATATAATCAATATTTCTTTAGTAAATAAATTATTTATGTATATATACGTATATATATATATAATTGTTGGTGCAGATGGATGGCGAGTGAAATTTGTCTTATTGGTGATTGTAAAATTCTTCAATAAAATTTTCTTTTAAAATAACATTTTGGAAAGAAAAAAGGGTAATATTTTTAGCCTATAACTTTAAATAGTGTTATAAATAACTTCTAACAGTGTTGTAAAGTACAGAATCCATTTGAAAGAAAATAGAATATTTTAAGGCAGTTTATAGAATATGAAAATTTAAAACTTTCAAGCACCACAGGGGACCTGGTCCATATTTAAATACATTTATTTTCAGTTCTAAATGATTACTGAGTGCATTTAACGGTAATTTAATTTTTATTTCTGATGCAGAATATTGTTCCATATAAAATGCGACTATTTCTCTTCTACATTTTAAACATATAATTAATTTTTTGAATATTTATGATGCACTAACAACGAGCTTCAGTTATTATATCATTTAATGCAGCCATTAAATTATGCCAATTTTATCTTCTCGTTCTTTTAGCTATTATTAATCGTAAAACTTCATTAGATAACTCAAGCTATTCAAAATATTTGCATTTTGAGATATGAATTCTACACTGGTGAGCAAAAATTAAGGACGAGATGGTTTTTTCAATATAACTTTGTACAAAAGCTTTCCAAATCAACACATTTAATACCGTAAGATCCCCAATACGTAAGGACATGAATAATGTAAGCAACACTTACTAAAAGAGAAACCAGAGGGATAAAAAGAAGCTTTATTGAAAAAGTAGCATGGAGCGCAATGCGACTGAAGGCCGAAACATCCCTGTGATGGGTGTCCAGCAAGAAACATCCGGTCTTTAATAGGGGATATGATCTCCCCTGACTGCTAGGCAGATTTCACAGCGTCTGCCCATGCTGAGAATGAGAGTGTCAATGAGTTGTTGAGGCATTGCTGCCCATTCGTCTTGCAGCGCCAATCGTAGCTCCGGAATCGTTACTGGTGGTAAGGTACGAGCTGCCAAGCGTCTGCCTAGAAAATTCCATACATGCTCGATTGGATTGAGATCCGAAGATCGTGCCGGCTCATCCATACGTTCAATATCCTCAGTCTCTAAGAGCTGTTCGGCAGCTACTGTGCGATGACATGGTACATTGTCGTCCATGAAAAGGAACTGCGGACCCATAGCGCCTCTAAAAAGACGCACATATGGAAGAAGAATCTCGTTACAATAACGAGTCCCGTTGACTGAACCTGCGTCGAAGATGTGAAGGTCTGTACGACTACCAAGCATGATGCCTCCCCAAACGAGAACACCGCCACCCCCATACCTGTCCCTTTCAATGATGTTCGACGGATGATTGCGGCTTCCCGGCTCTCTCCAGATGAGTATGCGATGAGAATCGCTACTCAGACTGAATCTGCTCTCATCTGTAAAGAGTACTCGTCCCCATTCATTGTCTCTCCAATTCCGGTTTTCCCGGCACCACAGAGAACGCCTTCTCCGATGGGCAGGCGTTAGAGGTACACACCGTATAGGGCGTCGTGCAAACATACCACCACCGTGCAGTCTTCTGGCCACGGTAAAACGCGATATCGGTCGTCCAGTCGCCTGTGTCGTGTGTCTAGCGATTTTTCCCCCTGTCTGCCGCCTGTTTCTTCTGGCCTGTAAGGCAATATACCGGTCATCTGCGAGTGTGGTTCCTTGTGGACGACCACTACTAAACCCCCGGATAGCTGTTTCTGTAGTTTGAAATTGTCCCCAAAGTCGTGAAACGATGCTGTGAGCAATTCCGAACTCTGCAGCCACACTTGTCACACTGCGGCCTTCCTCCAACTTCCCAATGATTCGACCTCGGGTAAAAGCATCCAGATGTCGTCTAACAGATTGATTATTCGCCATTTCTTGCTGAGGCAGCAACTCGGTGTGATTTTAACTGCTGTACGGCGTGCAATCTCTTTGCCAGAAATACTGATCTTACACCGACAACATGCTTTATACTACTCAGACCCTCCCCCATTACGTCTACGTGCATATCTGCACATGTGCTACCGTACATCACCTTACTTAATCTCCTGATTGGTCTTTCTGTCCGCTGTGCCTCTTCGTTCAGCTGATATGCTAATTTTTCGACTTTGTCCTTAATTTTTGCACACCAGTGTATACCAGTAATGCAGCTTTACTTCGCAGAACTCAAAGCTTAATAATTTATAACTTAAATTTGTATCCGTGGTTCGTTAATTATTATAAAAGAAAATCTCCTGGGACAATATACTGAAGTTAAAAAGTCTGTAACTTAAAGCCTTTCTATTTTTCACGTTATACTACCAAATCACTATCAATCTTTCTTTGCTTTATTTCATAAATAATACCCGCGGCTTAGCAAATTGCCGTTCCGAGAGCCATTCTCATTGTTCATGATGTAAGGCATTTAGTTTATTTCACAAATTATCAATACTTTGCTCATCAGGGGAACATATTGAGCAATTTACGAACAATATTCAATAAAGCATTTTGGACGGTCATCTTTAGAAGACGATTGTTTTTGAAAGGAACTAGTATTTTTGAGAATATAAACAAACATCAGGAATAATGATTATTATACTGTTCTGTTAGGCAACAGCATCTTAACTTGTCGATGACCATAAAATATACTTCGATGTGATCACCAGTACGTGAAATTCTGCTACTAAACTAAAATACTCTTTTTTGCAAAAAAATAGAAGCACCATGAAGGAAGTGGTTGTTTTTGGTGACACTGAATATGCGTATAGCTCATATACAGATAATAAAATGATTAAAAAAATCAAAGTCATAGTATCTGTTCACGGTTCACAATCACCCACTAAGTGTTCGAATTAGTAGTTGGTCGAACCGCCCCTGGCGGAATGCATGCTTGAATTCGTCGAGGCAAGGAGTGGTAGAGGTTCCTAATGTCATCCTGCGACACATTCTGCCAGGCATTCATCAGTTGTCGCTCCAGATTTGCGATATTTTGTGGTGCCCGAATCTGGCGGCCTACCATGCCCCACACATGCTCGAATGGTGAAAGGTCTGGTGACCTTGCTGGCCAAGGAGGAGTATCAACCGCACGGAGACAGTCCAGAGATATGCAAGCGGTATGTCGCCTGGCATTATCTTGTGGGAAAATGGCCCCAGGATGACGTGCCATGAAGGGTAATGCAACCGGCTACAGGAAGGTATTAACATATCATTGAGCTGTTAAAGATGTACGGAGGATGACTAAAGATGACCTGCTGTCATAAGAAATAGCGCCCCACACCATCACACCAGGGGTTACGGCTGTATGCCTTTGTAAAACAAAGGCTGATTGGGACCGCTGGCCCCGTCCTCTCCAGACACGAACACGGTGGTTCAAAAGTGAAGCGGTATTCATCGCTGAACACTATACGGTGCCAGTCTGATGGCAGCCATGATGATCGGCTGCGACACCACTCCAGACGACTCCGCCGATGTTGCGGGGTAATAGGCAAACGTCTTAAAGGTCTCTGTGAGCGTAACCTCGCCTCAGACAAGCGCCGTGAGATGGTGGACGTTACCACGGGAGGTATAGACGTGGCTGTAGTGCGTTGAATAGTGGCAGTGATACCGTTGGGGCAGTTCGGGCCTGGCGAAGGATAATCCTATCTTGCCTCGCATTTGTGCTCCTTGGCCTTCCAGAGCCTTCATTTCGCCGGGAATTTCCTTGTATCAACCATTGCTGCCAACATCTTTGCGCATCAGTGTATGTAAACTGCAGGTGGCGGCCTATTGCTCCGTATGACCACCCAGCTTCACGCAACCCTACAATGCGACCACGTTCGAAGTCGTTTAGTTGTCTGTAAGATCTTCGATATCGTCGTAATGGCATCTTTAGTTGCTTCTTTACGGAATTACAATGGCAGCAACAAAGAAAGATAAATTTTCCGCCTCTGTTACTGGTTTTATACTTTGCAAACTGCGTACTAGAAATGCGCGCTATGATCGCAATTGCTGTTCATTTGCCTTGAAACTTTGATCATTTGCATGTTCGATCAAGCATTTTTGCATACCAAATTTCGTCACGATCGCAAAAGTCCTTCTTAGTGCTTCGTCCCCCCAAAAAAGGCGTGTATATTATATATACTAAACAACAAAAAGAATTACATTTCCACTTCTTATAACAGAATTGTTTTTATGAAAAGGAGTAGTTACTGAATCATTAATTGTATCCTTCTTAAATGTGATCTAATTTATCTCACAGTTCTCACTCACATTATGATAGAATACATTTCAAATAATACATATAATTCGCAAATGTTTTGTCTGCTAGTATTTAAAAAAATAAATATGTAGTAACTTTTTTGAAGTCATTATATAATTGGGCAGATGGTTAGAAACTGGACAGGAAGAAATCGCTTTTGGGTGTATTTCATTTTTTCAGAGAGAGGCTTTACTTAATAAGAAATGTCACATCATGTGAAATAAAGAAATCTGACATGAATATTTTCAAGGAATAATCAAAGAAATATTTTCATTTCGATTAACAATGTTCGTGAGCTTCTATTCTATTTCCTTTTATAACTAGGCACTGCATTATGCCTCTTTTATTTAATTAATAATAAGTGGTTTATCGTCCTCGTCACATACACTTTGTTTTCTTCAAAATTACTCGTGCAATGCATTGCACATAACTGTATATTCTTCTCTTACAGAACCTGGTGTTCTTCAGTTCAAGCGCCGAGGTATATTGGTACAAGAGAGCATTGGCACTGCATTGATTCCTGTGATGAGAACTTCAGGAGCCGATGGAATTGTGACTACAAAATGGAGGACGATCGACCGGACAGCCGTATCTGGCAAAGATTACATCGGAGGAGAAGGCGAAATTACTTTCGCTCACGGTGAGGTCGAGAAGAACATTGAGATTCAGATCATCGACGATTTCAATGCCGAAAAAGATGAACATTTCGAAGTAGAACTCTACGATCCTTCAGGAGGGGCCATTATCGGACAAGTCAATAGATCAACTGTTACCATAACGAATGATGATGGTGAGCGATTTTATGTTAAAGATGGTTAAAATAACCATAAAATAATGCTATTTATTCATTGCTACAAAATATTGTTAAGTGTCAGCGTAAATAAGTTCATGTAATATTTAATTAACAACAAAATGCAGTTTTTAATCGGGATAGATTTCAGAATAAGATTCTCGTTAGAAACAAATGCCCAAAAAAGACTAAATTTTTGCATATTTTTAAAATGCAGTTTCGATGACATCAGATTCTCCTAATAACTAAAATATCGCATGCATATGTTCTAATTTACGAATTTCAGAAGTTAGAACTGTCAAGTAATTTGAAAGTGCAGTCAAGTAAACAGTTACGAAAAGTAACCCCCCTTTAATAGCGGTGCCAGGGTTGGATGGTGCTAGCGAGAATCCAGAAAATTTCCCGCCCGCCTCGTCACCTCATATGAATGGTTTAGAAGCGAATGAAATATTAATCATTATTCTAAGATTCATCCAGCAAAAAACTTTCACTGGAAGGAAAAGATGTAATGGCGGCTCCCCCCAACCAATAAATAAATAAATAAAACGAAACGAAAACTGTTAGTAATCGTACGAAGCACATTGTCTAAAACCGTAGTCGTCAGCTCATCACACATTCGTAACTGTTGGATCTAAATCTTTATTCCATAGCATAAAAGGAAGCAATTTTCATGCCCCAACATCCCGGCGATTTCGAAACAGTGCCCTCTCATAAAGATGCCGGCACTATTATGCAAGTCGCTGACTATTCGCTAAAATAAAAACCTTTACACGGGTATACCAGCATCTTGACAAAGGTTACAATTTTTGTGATATAAGCTGAATATCATAAAGTTTCCGTGGTATTTTGTGTCTTAACATCGACGCACTCTTGTAGCTTAATGAACAATGGGCAGTTTGAAAAATGTGTCGGTACCCTTTTGCAAATTGACAGCTCGGTCTGACCAGCCCCTCACACTCCCGACCGGTCCCATATCCTTTGGAGGGGGCCGTATCTGCTGACTGTCCACCTGTGTCACGAAATTCCAGCTTTATTTTGCCTTCTAGTTCAGCATTATTTTGCCTTCCTATTCACTGCTTTTGGCCATATTTCAGTCCATCTTGCCATATCATCACCAGAGGGGGCTATTTTTTCGTGGGCCATCAGGACTGAGAGAAATAATTGTGGAAGTATAAGATAACGGCATATTAAAAAATCAGTAACGAGGATAGGAATCAGTAGGCTTTGATTCAGTAGGTATATTTGCAGCCCATGGAGAAGATCCCACCTTTATATATATATATTACATTCAAATTAACGCCTCAAACTAAAACTGGGGTAGTAACAAGTTATAAATGTTCGAAGCAGGAATTGATTTGCAATCAGAAAATAAATTGTAAGATCTTTTTGCGAAATTAATTATCTAAATTGTCATTTCTAATTTTTCAGACTTTAATTCTATCGTAAGTCGTGTGGCCGCAATGACAAATGTGAATGTGGATAGTGTGAGACTTCAGTCCGAGACATGGGCTGAGCAATACAGGGCGGCACTTACGGTCAATGGAGGTGATATAGAAAATGCGACAACTGTTGACTATGTACTTCATTTCTTCACATTTGGATGGAAGGTAAGATGATGATGCCATTACTTCATATTTTACAGACATACATTTTTTAATACAAAAAGAGATGGCTAGAGAACTGTAATAGGAAAGAAATAATAAATAAATTATATAAGATAAAATATAAATCACTCTCAATATAAAACAATAGGTCCTTTTTATAGAAACATAAATCATTCCTCTGATGCATCAGTTCTCTTTAAAATTCAGTATTTAATCAATAAATTTTAATTTAAATTAAAAATATTCGAAATTACTGCCGAGTGTATTATTAATGTTTCTAACATTCCACCGAAACGAGCAACTGCAGGTAAACATCTGAATGATAAAAATCAATGGATGACATTGACCCGTTTGGTAGAAGAAGCGAAAAATGTCGTGCTTAAGGTTTACAACTGAATTAATAATTTACATTCTATAGACTAAATGAAACAAGATAATAATTCAGATAGAAATGGTTGAAGAGTACATTAGTGATTCAAGTCGCTTCAATATTAATTAGTCAATCGCCCGAATGCTGTGCGGTCAGAAAATGGACATTTTTGAATAAGTTCGACGGAAACTGGTGCCAAACTATTTTCATAGCTTGAGCACTTTGGTTATTTTGTAGAATAAAATTATACAAAAAAGTTTTTATTAAATAAGCTTTTATTTAAAACTGATAAAATTATTAAAGAACTTCGAAAAAAAGTAGTTTGTCACATAGCTTGTTTGAGATAAGAAATTAAACAATTATCTTTGAAAAAAATTCATCTACAATTTATGTCACAAATAATAAAGTGTGGGACGCCTTTAACTTCAGGCAATAATATATAAATTTATCGTAAAATTTAAGGCGTTTTTCCTTTAGTTTCACGATAAATTTTTAAATATAATATCACTTTCTTCAATGCAATTCGATTTCATCATTTAGGCGCCCCTGATATAAAATTATAGATGAGTCTTGTAAAGAGAATTATTTAATTTCTTGTTCCCATTAAAGTATATGAAAAATTATTTTTCTCCTTTTCATCCATTAATGATTTCATCAATTTTAAGTAAAAGCTTTTTTTCAATATTTAAAAAAAAATATATATTTTTAGTCTCCTCTTTTTAGTCTATGACATTTCGTCATTCACATTATTACATTTAAAAATCATTGAAACAATGAATAAGCACTCTTTTATTTCCAACAATTCTGTTGGTCAAATGGTGGAACAAAACACAACAATTTGGCCCCAAAACGGCAGAAATTACGCTAAAATCTCATATAAACTTTATTTAAAAGGTTATTTTTTTTCGCTCTATCAGATGATGCAAACAATGAAATTCTGAGAGTTTTAGTTTACTAATTCAGAAGTCAAACAACAAAAGTCAGCGTTATATTTTCAAATTTTTACAGGACTAGTTTCGATGGTTTTACTGAACCACCATCCTCAGCTGCAAAAGCACAAATGAACGAGATAGGATATAATGATCATTTGTTGTTTGACTTCTGAATTAGTATTTGTTCGGCGTGTTATTGTGTCTTAGTTTTAGCTTATTTATTAAACGAAGATATGTGCCAAAAAAAATCATTTCAACATTAAAGAATATAAATCAAATTTTTTAAGGGGAAAAAAAAACTACCATAATGTATATGTGATACTCTATAATGAGTGTGCATGCCCCTTCCCCCCAAGAAAAAAGGCTAGTTATATAAAAGCTAATAAAAACGTGGTTAGTTTCAAAAGAAATCTAGGAAGTGGTCTAACTGACATTTTTTTATCACTCTTAGTTTAAAAAAGGCCGAAGAGTTTATTTTGTAAACTTAGAAAATTTCAAATCTTTATAAGAGATGCATTTTTAGATGTTGGAATTTTAAATGGCGAAAAATAATATTGGTCCAGTCAACGAACGGTTTGCCAAAGAAAAAGGTATGGAAGTTCTTTTTCATCGGTTCTATGTTTTTTGTGGTGCTGAATCCAAATTTTAGATTTCCAACCTCGCAACAAGATGGCTTCAGATTGAAACTCGAAAAAAAACCTCAACATTTTGGCATTTTTTCAGTTTTCCGTCTGAGCTAATTATTTTAACACATGACTGAAATTAATTATTTTATAAATGCCTGGTATGCGTAGGTTACCATTAATGGGAATTAACGAACGTCAGGTAGGTGGTCGGCAAACCCTCTAGTCTAAGTTTCATTTACCATTTGCAGATGTGGCAACGAGAGTAGTAGCATGATTCCTCATAAACTAGTGGGTCCGCTGACCACGTACCTCACTGACGTTCATTAATTCATTAATGTGATCATACCAGGAATTCATAAAATAAATAGTTTCAAGCATATAACATTGATATTAGGGCACCAATGCACAATTGTAATTTTGTGCATACTAGTCATCTTAAAAAAATGCTTAGTTTTCGAGTTATAAGCGAAAAACTGAAAAAAGGGGATAAAATTTTGACGTTTATTTCGATTTTCATTCGGAAGCTGACTACTGGCGAGGTGGCAAATATAAAATTCGGATTCAGCATCACAAAAAAGATATAGAACCGGTGAGAAAACATCCTTTCTGAATCTTCGATGACTGGACTGTATAATATCACGTACTATGATAAAATCAAGAAAATCAAAATAGTAAGAAAAATGTATTTAAATTTATTTATGAAATGAAAAAAAATTAAAAACAACTTGGTAGCTTTTATTGAAAATAATTTTAAACGTTAGTCATGCTTGTTGTTTTTTGGGATTAATAGGAAGCAAGAAAAGTAAAGGCGTAGCATATTCTTTTTTTTTTTTTTTTTTTTTTTTTTGTGTAAATGCTGAAAATTGTTCAATTAATATATTTTTATTATTACTGTTTTAAAAGATGGCGAAGAATTTGTTTTATAATCTGCGAAAATTTCAATATTTTGTAACCAATACATTTTTAGATGTTGAAATTTTAAAATCATACACGTTATACAGTGGGAAAAACAAAGCAATTTTAGAAAATTCGCGAAAAAATCAGAAATTAAGTTAAAATTTGATACCAATTTCATTTAAAAGATTTTTTCCGTTCTATGCGATGGTGCAAACAGCAAATTTCTGATATTTTTTGTTAAGCCAAGATATGTGGGAAAATTAACTTAAACATTAAATTTAAAAAAAATCGAAATCAAATTTTGAAAAAAAAAAAAAAAATCGCTTCAGCACATTGCACTGTCATCCACAAAACTGTGTGTACAAAATTTGATCTCCATAGCTTATCATCCTTGAACGAAACGTTTGTTGCAACGGGCGCCTGGATTGGAGTCTCCTATCCCGATCGATGTTATGTCGAATAGGTTAAAAATCGATGCCAAACTTTTGACCATGTGGTAAACAGCATGGGTGAAGTAAATAAAATCTTATATAAATTGTTAAAAACATCTAGTTTTAGTGTGGTATGTTTTGTCTATACGTTTAGAGGAAAATATAGTGAAGCTTTCTTCTGGCAACTACCACTAAAAGTGACCATTTCTAAGAACGTTAATAAATATCGTTATTAACAATTATCTCAGCAAGCTGACTACTTCCACCGAAAAACAAAATCATCTGAAACCATATATGGACATCTCAAAGTGGATTTATTGTAGTATGCATTATTTTGCACTCTATCCTTGTGAATGTATACTCATATTTAATGATTAATCTCATTTAAATACTTATAACTTGCATATTTTCTTTAGGCAATTTTTGCAGCAGTACCTCCAACAAGCATTTGTGGTGGTTGGATGACGTTCTTCGTATCCCTGTTACTCATCGGGATACTGACAGCCATCATCGGTGACATGGCAAGTATCTTCGGTTGCCTGGTTGGTCTAAAGGATGCTGTGACAGCTATTACATTTGTAGCACTCGGAACCTCATTGCCCGACCTTTTCGCTTCCATGGCTGCTGCAAAGCAGGAAAAATATGCCGATAACGCAATTGGAAACGTCACCGGAAGTAACTCTGTCAATGTTTTCCTTGGACTGGGATTGCCATGGTTGATGGCGAGCATCTACTGGGCATCTAAAGTTAGTAATGTTTAAATAAATATTTGAGTTATTAAAAAACATTTATTGTAACATGTGAATGTGTAGAATTATTAGGTTATTTTGCAAGCAGGAGACGTAAAAATGTGCTATGCCGTCACCAAGACTCGAACCTGGACCCCTCTCGAATACGCCCCGAGTGTGCTCTAGTTACACCACGAAGGCATGCAGAAAGGAGGGAGAAAACACCTTATAAATATTTTAAAAAGAATAATTGTGAATTTAAAATTTTGCATACATCTGAATAGAAAAGTAATAAATTATAGTTTTAATCACAATGAAAGTAATGATATTAAATTTTCATGATCAGCATTATAATGCAGTTATAAGGAAGGCTGTTTTTAAGAGAAAAGTCATTCAATATAATTCACTAGATTTTCACAAAAAAGAGGAATTAAAAGGAAAAAAAAGCTATGACACATTTGTTAAATTTGTAATAAAAATGTAATTTGAGCGGATTATATAGGTATATAAGCAAAATACAGGCAACACATCAAGTAGGTAAGATGATGATTTACAGAAAGCAAGAAATTTAAAACTGCAGTTTTCTGAAGCTCAAGTATAACCATAAAATATTATTATAACATTCATAGGAACCTATTAATTTGATAAAAGCAAACAATAAAATATGCCTACTATTCAAATATTCTTATCGCAGCGAACAATAAATGCCCTCATAGAATTTTGTTACCACCTTTGATAGCCAGTTATTTATTGCCGTTTTCACTTTTCTATTGGTGTCTTGACTTTCCTTCAACCCTCATCCATTTTCACCCTTTATTGTGACTCACTGCATGTCGTCGTACACTTCACACATGTGGTAATGAATATCTGGAACTTTCATGTTTCTTCACGAAACTTCCAAAACTTTCATGTTCATGTTCAAGAACTGAGTAACTGACTGTATTTCACAATCCGCAAGGTGGTCATTTTCTTAGCATTCGAACCTCAATTACGTTGTATGCAGACGGATGCCGTGGATTAAGGTGGCATCCGATTCTGCGCAGAGATTGCCGGAAGCCTGTCATATTCATTATTATGTATGCGTTATATTTCAAACACACTTTACTTAAAAAAATAACTTACACATATGCATATTTCAATCAATGGTACTTTCCCGTTTAAGCCATAAGACACCATTTTTTGTTTTTGGTTATTTCCCTTTGCGCCAAGTGTCACTAGTTTGGCTTGGATTCTTTCCCGGTGATAATTCTCTTTGCATCAGCGCTCCTGCAATAACATCCTCATTTAATTAGACTTTACATATATGTATATTTTTTAACTACAACACATTTTAAGATTTGGGATAAGCTCTCCTGTTTCTTCAAGAAAAAAGGGTTCTTCACAAAGAAAGTTTGTGTTTGAATAACCACTCATGAAATTAAAATGTAACTCGAAGGTGAAATGGATGTGCAGCATTCCAGGAAGAAAAAGAAAATGCAAAAACAAAGTAAATGTGTGATTTGTTGGATCGCGCATTTACTTTTGTTATTTGCATACATGTTATTTGCAATACGATTCATTTACTTATTATGTTAGAAGTTAACATCTATTGAGATTTTCGGATCAAAGCTTGCTTCATATAAATCACAGCACAAGAGTTGATTAGAATAACTATGTAACAGAGGTATGTGGCAATTTCTTGCTGTCTCGTTCTAATGTTAAATTTGATAGACATTACAAAATTATGGTAATGGATCAAAGCTTATTCACAAAAAGAAAAGTAACAGAGGCTGTGTTCTTTTATACACTAGATTTTTACCATGAAATTAGAGAATGTTTCCTTGTGGCTTTTCCAATCATTCCGTATCATCCAACCAATGGCGTTAGAAAAAACATAAGCCAAAGATTCATAGTATGACTTTAATGGAAAGGTACAATTAGTAACCATTGGGCATTTTTCATTGTATTTAAGAACTCAGTTAAATTTGCAGTTTTCTTCCAACTAGTTTGAGCAATTTTTCCACACAACCTTTATATTTTTACAATCCACATTTACAATACTTCCAAAGACAAACGAATGACATAATGATTAATTTATGTAACTATATAATGTATTCAATATCAAATTTTTGTTTACAGCAAAGAATCTTAAAATTTTAATTTATTATTCCAATTTTCTTTCTTCAGGGACAGAAATTTGTTGTTGTAGCTGGAACTTTGGGTTTCAGTGTTGGCATCTACACAGCTTTGGCATTAGCCTCCATAGCCCTCATAGTGGTAAGAAGATACACTGCTGCTTTCGGCAAAGCTGAATTAGGTGGGCCACGGAAATTTGCTTTAGCTTGTGGAATCACTATGATAGCTCTGTGGTTCCTATATGTTCTATTATCATCATTTGAAGCTTATGGATATATCCATGTATGAAAAATTGTATGGATTTAAGCTCACTTTCAAACATGTAAAGGACAATGGAATAATGTTTTTAATATTTGTAAATATAAATCCGGTCTTTATTTTGTATAATTTTATATTATAAACTACTATATACATATAAATTGTGAAGAAAGTAATATATGTATATGTCTGACATATCCTGATATGAAGTTAATGTTAAATCAAAAAGTATGCAACTTAATATGCTTGGGAAATTTAATGAAGCATATGTACATTCACAAAGTTTTAAATTATTAGTATTTTCACTAAAAAATTACTAAATGGAGCAGCAACTTAAGTAATAAATAAATTCATAAAATAAAATAATTTCTGACCCCTTAAAGTTGAAACTTAAATTTACGTATGAACTAAGGGAATAGAAAGTACATTTTATTATTTACTTATTTTTATCTTTATCTACAATGTATTTTTATCTACAATGTATTTTTAATTATAGTTTATTATGTATTAATTTGACAATGCATTTAACCGATTATTTTTTCAAACAATATCTAAAAAATAAAACTGAATTTTCTATTTTTTGTTTTGACCTCAGACTAAGCATTGATTCAGCAGATAAAATATGAGCCACAGAAAAGTACAATATCAAACATCATGATTAATTCATTTTAATTTATTGCTAGATAATACTGAGGTTTAGAATTTATATACTTTGAATGATGATTAGTTTACAAAAATCATTCTATGTAATATTTTATTCAAATACTAATTCTAGTACAGTACAAAGTCTTTAATCCGGACATCCATAATCCGGACCTCAAAGCTATAAACTTTCTGTGCATGCATAAATGCATAATGCATTTACGCACGCACATAATACGTTTACGCATGCGCGTTTAATTTATAACGGACGGTATAAGCTAGGCTAAAATTATCTAATTATCTATTTCAGTTAATGTTGCAGATTGCGCTGTTCCTTAACCTTCTAATCCAGCTTATTATTTTTTGCAGACTGTTAGAGCAATTTTATAAAAAGTAAGCTTGAACTTTCGATTATGTCAAAAAGAGTTTCCGATTCTGGAGCTGCCAAAGGATTTTACAAAGCGAAAGCATGTTTCGATGTCCATCAAACAAAAAGTGGAATTGCTGCAAAAATGTATCAAGGCATATCCGTCTCAAAATTATGCGAGGAGTATGACATTGGAAAGTCAAAAGTATATGACATACCACTTCCCAAAGTGACAGAGAGGTTATTGAAAATGAAAAAAATTCGATTGACAAGTCAGTCGGTATTCTCGTCACAGCAATTACAGGACTTGAACAGTGGAACTTTGTAACTGAACAAGAAATTATGTCTGTTTATAGAATTAAAGATAAAGTATTAGCACAAAAAATGAAGCAACTTAAACAACTTACATTGAAAGAAATGTTTAATAAAATAAACAAATAAATATTAAGCTTTTTTTTGTAAATTTGATACCCTCATATCATAATTGCTCTTTATTTCATAAATTACGGTTTCATATTTTTAATTTTATAATTTCTGCATGCCATCTTACCAGATTTAAATTGATGATCTATAATCCGGAAAAACCCCTAATCCGGAATCGCCGAAGTCCCGACGAGTCCGGATTAAAGACTTTGTACTGTAATCATGTCACTCAAAAATCTCAAACATGTAAATATCTAAGTAATGTGACCATGAAAGGTGGAATTATTAAATCATAAAATTTGTCTGTTTAAAATTCTTTCTTAAATTTTATAGTATGTCACTTTCCTGTAACATACCAAAAGAAGCCCAATGAGTGGTAAAAGACGTTTAATTTTTTTTGCATTGGTTGTACGTTTTTTCTGAATTCTTACACTAAAGGAAATTTATGTATAAAACATAGTAAAGAGAACTGCTTTCAAAAATGTATTAAACAGCAATTTAAAACAAAAAGTGTAATAAACATGGCCAGTATAAACTTGCACTATAAACAAAAGTTTATCATGTATTTAATACAACCAATGTGGAGAAAATTATATGTCAAGGACTGTTTGAGAGTTTGTACTTAACAATTGTTATGTCTAATGTATTTGTAGTGTATGTACATATTAATGTTAAACTATTTTTTATTGTCAATTGATAAGACACCTTTTTAAATGAATGTGATATTTTATATATAACACATGCTTTTATATATTACACATGCTATCCTCTTTTATGTATAAAGAATCTGTTTAAATATTATATTTTATTTAAATACTTTTGATCATTAATTATTTAGGAGTGGTTTGTGCTTGATATGATTTATGTACAAAGTAATAATAGATTATCTTTCATAACAGAGTCAATCAGTGTCTACTACTAATGAGCTCATCATGAAAATTTTTACAATAAAATTTAAATAAATGTGTTTATCCACTAATAATTGTGCTCTTTTTTTTAATACTTGAGAAGAATTAACTAAACAGTTACTATTAGAAATGCAATGATCATTAAAACTACTTGGAATGAAAAACTATTGTGTATATATATATATATATATATTCCTTTAGTTTTAGTACTAATACTTTCCATAATTTTTTTTTTGAATTTAGTTTGATATGTGGAATGAAAAAGATTACAGCTGTAAGAACTCATTATAATGATTATATGGATTTTGATTTACCAAACATTCTACAGATATTTGATTGTATTCATATTAACTAGATCAGCAGTCGCCAACCGGTGGTCCATCAAATTTTTTGATGGTCTGCAGAAAATGGACATTATTTAGATTTTTATGAAGATTCAATTTAAAAATGATGAGTAACAAAACCTATTATGGAATATGGATTCAACTTTTTTTTAAAATTTTATCTACTACTTTTAGCGAAATTTCTTCTGAATTTAATGACTTTTTAGCTACTTTTGCAGGTGTATCTAGCGACATTTGAAAGTGAGAGTTGGCATCCATGGATATGCTGCTCTTCTCATAGCACGAACTATAATTCTCTTTCCTTTTGAATTACAAACATGTGCTATTGTGGTCATTAATAACACAGTTTTTCTCCATGTCAATAGGCATCTTGATGGGTTTTTGTGAGAACCATCTGCATTCTTGTTTATAATTGCATCACTGGAAGTTTTCGTTTTGTTTTGTCCAACTGTTGATCGATGGCGCCATTGCTGAGTAAGCAATGATTATTATGTTTACAATAATTAAAAATTGGCAACATACCACTGTCAGTTTATTGATATCGCTTTGTGTTTGCCAGTTCATTCTTGCTTTTCGTGAAGTTCCTTTTCAGTGATACAGAAAATTGAAGCTTTCTGTACAAGAAGATAAGACTTTTGTACTTTTCATGTAATATTTCAATGTGAACAAAATATGTGTAGTTTGCTGATTGTTATTGTATAAATGTATTTACTTTTTCTTAATTCATATTAGTGGTCCGCCAAATATAAAATTATATATGTAGTGGTCTGTGAAGTTCTAAGGCTTGACGACCATTGAACTAGATTACAAATGCATGCATGCATAAACTTACTCTATAAACTCCTACTTAAACAAACTTCATAACAACAAATTCATCTTGTATAGATTAAAAAAAAGTATATATTTCCTTATCTACAGAAAATGACAGCCAGGTAGTGTACCACCTGCCATGGAATGATATATTCTTTTATTAACTTCTGCTTTAGAATGGTATTAGTTTACAAAGATATTGATTTTCTATACTATATTCTCAAAATACATTACCTCCTTATCTAATAAAAATCGGGGAACACTGACATCCATTTCAAGATAATTATCGTAAAGCATATTTCCTGTAAAAGTTCTTATTAAAACTTCTCTTAATCACAATAATAGTACCTTCTGCAATTGGAATAAAATTATTTTTTATGAATTTGCTGTTTTGATATTTCATACCGATACTAGCCGGCAATATAAAACTTTTCATTATTACATTCTAAGCATAAATAATGTTACTCTGAATCAATAGCTGTTCAGTGTCATTAACAAAAAAACTGAACATAGACCATCAAATAATGTGAAATATTTATTCTAAATATTATAATTTTTGTAGCAATACATTATTTTCTACTGCTGTTAGAAAGTAGTTATTCCTATTTTGTTATACACTGAAGAGAATTTTGTAGTTTTTAACTGCTCAATGTTTTATCATTTTTCATGACATTTCAGGGTTTTATTTAGTCTTAATATTGCAAGATAGTATATTTAAAATTTCATCATTTTTCTGTATTAAAATACAAAAACTTATGAAGGAAGACAGAAATTTGCTTGTTTTAGGAAAGAAAGGCACTGTTTTTATTTCATAACATTAAAAAAAGAGGAGTCTAGTCTCAAAAAATATCTATTCTATGAATTTACATTCTTGAAACATTCTGTAATAAAATAGAAAACACATCTTCAGAGGGTGATCATGTGTTTGATATTATGGGTACCACAGAAAGACAGAGGCTTAACACATGTAAAATATGCAATAAAAATTTTGGGAGAAAAGCTCATCTTGTTAGACATTATATTTAACCTTTAAGAGATGGGGCAGTTTGAAAAGGTTTCACATAAAAAGGCAGGAAATCCAAATGCATTTCCACCCCCTTTTAGCTGCCATTGTAAAGGGAAACTACTACTCTTTTGCAACTTTTTCTGTAGGTCGCCTTTGTTAATTTTCAGATAAGAGACTTAGGGAATAATATAAAAGGAATTTGTTAAATTTGTTCTCTTTTCTGCTTTTTCTTTTCCTTAAACTAGGGAAACATATTATGGTGAGATTTCATAGCTAAATAATGGTTTACTGGTTAAATAATTGTCGTATGTTGGAATATTAACTTTTGACATTGCGTCATAATGAAAATACGCCTTAGCAGCAAATGCACGCCTATAATCAGTTCATAGTTTATTCAGTTTTTATTTGTTTCCAAACTGAATTTAGTTTAGAATTACTTGTACTAGTTAACACTGTTAAGTTATACTGGAAAATGATGTTTAACTATTTGTTTCTCGTATAAATCGGTAGTTTGCTTTTATTTGTTTCCAAGCATTGTGTAACAACTTATATTTATATATCAAACAAATCCTGTTGTATTTTCCTTATATTAGTTTCGTTTACCTTTTTCATTAGTATTCATATTCAGTTTAATTTATTGATTTCGCCCCCCCCCATTGTATCCTAAGTTATTTCATGTTTCAACTACATTATTGTTCATTGTTCTTTCTTGCAGTTTTGTGATAAAAGCTTTTTTTTATCCTTTAGCGTTTTTTTAATTATTTTCCTTTACTTTAAAAACAGATTTTATTGATTATATTTTCATTTCATTGCACTCCATTGCATTTTGCATGTTTTAAACAATAATAATAAATACAAAAATTACAATAAAAAGGGGAATATAAAGAAAAAAATACACTTTTAATGACACTGAAAAGTTGGTGAAATCAATACTAATGTAAAATTCCTAAGATTTCACTGCTGAGGAAAACAAAAGGCATACTTGCCAACCTATGACACTCAAAAATCAGGAGATTTTTTTAAGAAATCAGGAGATTTTTCACAATGTTAAAAATACTTTTTAAATAATAAAAAATATAGTTTTTAATAATGAATTAACTTTAAATAGTTACTAAGTCTTAAATGCAAGCAAAACAAAAATACCTTAGACATAAAAAACATTTTTATTACTTGCATCGTTTAAAAAAAACAAACAAAAAACAACACTTTAATCAGTTTTCATACAAATGTTATGGAAAGTGACAGATTTTGCTTTCGTTAAGAAAGAAACTTCATAATTTTGTTCATAGCAATTGCCGCGTAGGCCTGCTTTCGCTAATAAAAGTTTTTCTAATGTGTCATCACTAATATTAGATCTAAATTTAGTACTCGTTTTCGCAACAACACTGAAAATCCTCTCACACTCCGCATTACTATGGGGAACTGTCAAGATGGCCAACATAATTCTAGAGAGTTCACTATATTTTAAAATTCCATCAGCACCTTTCAATTTTCCAATTAAACTCCACTGGGTGTCAATCCTAGCTGATTTATAACTTCATCCAAGTTTTCTAATTGTAAACTGCAAAATTGCGACTGCAGTATATCAGTAGCAACATCAATATCGTCATCTTTCATGACTAAACGAAGTAACACAGGAAATCTGTTCAAAAAGTACCTTATATCAGAAAAAGATGCATTTGCTAGAGCAGAAACATCGGCAACTTTAGCATGCAAAATCACTTCACATCGTTGACTGGAAATGTTATGTAAGTATGTAATCACATACTTGACAGAAGTAACTTCTAACATGAAGATAAAACTTATTTTTGTCTTCTTCCTGAAAGTTCTTCCACTACTTTTGTAGTTGCAGCTCCTATTACCAAATCTTCATCTTTCTTCTGATTTTCTTTTTCACCATAAATCAACATCATATATAGAATTACAAGACAAAACACAGACTGGTTTTACAAACTTTGATAAAATGTCTTTAAACAGATCATAAATCATTGATTGCAAAACATGAATTAATGGAATTCTGCTTTGTAGAATTGCGTTAAGAACATCGAATGATCGCAAAATGAATTGTAAAAAAAAGCAAAAAGCTTTGTTAAGGTCCGAAGAAAAAAACATAAATATTCGTTCTTCACAAGATAAACTTACAATAATCGGAAAATGTTTCGTGTGTTGAGCAATTTTTTTATTTTGAGAGAAATTTGTATCAGCTTTACGCTTATATTTTGCAGTGTTATTTTGAGAACTGCCAGTTGAATTGCTGAATGATGCAGAAATTACTTTATTTTTCTCAAACCTATTTTTAACTATGGAAGTAGTAACTACATCTCCATTTACTTTAGGTGCTTTATAACTTCCAATAGAGCCTTTTATCTTAACTCTCGAAGCATTTACTTCTTCTTTAAAAAATGCAAGAAGTGGGTTCCATTGATCGAGGATTCTAGATAAGCATTTCTTTAAAGACAGCCAGTGTGTACACACGTTTCAAAATTTTTCTTATTTCAGTATTATGCAGCTGTTGGAACTGTTTCAATTTTTCCTTTCTTTTAGAACTCCTTTCAAGATAATAATAAATATCAACAATGTGTTCATCCACATTTAATGGTAAAGAAGCTGCCCCTTTTTCAGCTGCTAAATTTAAGAGGTGACAGGTGCACCTCATAATCTGCAAATCTGAATTTGCCTTTCTTAAGATGCCTGCAACACCAGTCTTCAAGCCTACCATTACTGGTGCATTATCGGCACAAAGTGCTAAGCAATTATCCAGAGGGACTGCATTTTCTTTTAAAGTTTCAATAATTAGCTGTGCTATATTAAAGCCAGTTGAATGTCCTTCTAAAGTGGGGAGAGAAAGTAAACTGCACTCAATTTCTGAAGACTCTGGATTAAAAAAAGAAACAACAATTGGATACAGTTTTGAACTGGTATTATTGCTTCCTTTCGTAGAGAGGCAGAACGGAGCTGTTTTAATGCAATCAATAACTGAAGATTTATTTGTCAAACCCATTTCTTTAACAAATGCACCTGTTTTGGTCCTTGCACTTGAGTATTTCTTAGTGATTTCATTATCGGGAAATATTTTTCTAAATAAAGCTGCAGCGTGATCCGATGCATTCAGTGGCAGGTTGTGCTCCAGTAAAAAGGCAGAGAACAGACATTCTGCATTAATCACTTTTTGGTCTTTTGTTTCCGAAGAAAAATTTAATTTTTCGTTTTTTCAAAACAACTCATGTTGTCCTTATGTTTTTGTGTACACACATGTTTGAGAATATCTGCCCTTCCACCATGCGAAATCGAAAAATCGCAATGATAGATGGTACACATCGCAAATTTATTACATTTCCTTGAAGAAATAATGGAAGGAAAGTCAACTGTGTACGATTTTTGAAACGTGCATGAGTATTTCACCTTTCTCGCAGATATAACAAAAGACGATAATTTCTTAAACTATTTCCCAAAGGCACGTGTACTTACACAACTGAGGACAAGATGAACGAAATAGCGAAAGAACATCCAATTAACGGCCAACGGCCTTGAGCTTGCTTTGTGCTCATTGGCTAATATATGCCAGATGACATGCAATGGAGCTCGATGTCCATTGGAGAACGACGTTTCTGGATACGTATGCTGTCACTCACAAAGCAGAAATTCTCATCTGATTCGCAAGGTTTTATTTTAGATATAATCTAGAGAAAATTCAGTTGCTTTCAGACGTCCAAAATCACTTTTTTTTTTGTTCACATAACGAAGTAGATAAGTTCCATAAAAATCGTGAGAAATATTAAGAATAAGAAAAAGTCGGGAGTCTCCCCCCTAAATCGGGAGAGTTGGCAACTCTGAAAAGGGAATTTACAAAACCCCAAAGTTGGGAGGCGCGAAAGTCATCTCTCATAAGTGGCAAGGGAGGTTGTTCAGACAATGACTATCTCCGCACCCTGAAGGATTGGGGGGGGGAAATTCGATGGCCGATATTTTGGCCACAGCCGTCTTTTTGAGACACTGCAGCTCTGCCGATTCTTAGGCCACCCGTCTTTTAAAGGTTACGAAATGACACCCAGCAATGAAAGACACTATGTATGTGATGTAGCAAGAAAGGTTTCGAGATGAAAAATCATCTTGATGCTCACCATTGTCTTTGGCATCGTAGACATTGTGACAGAGGACATCGTGGTGGCCATGGGTCGGGTCTTCCATGCTTAATCCACTGATGCACAAATATATTTTTCTAGTAATCTCATACAGCACAGGCAAAATGAGCTGGGACCCAAGCCAAGACCAGTGCTAGGCAACCAGTTCTGTTACCAAAAACTAGTATAATGATTTCACCTAAATGCTCATCTTTAACAAATTTATGGTAAATCTGATATAAGAACTGGCCAGTCACAGGTGACGGAGAATGGGGACACCTGGTGTCTAACAAAGGTAAGCAGGTATATGTCCCACTCCCTCCACTAGCTTGAACCAGCAGCTCCTGAGTCCCAGGAGGCCTGCCTTGGGAATGCATTTGCATCTCTGTGAAGTCACATGAACAATCAGGGACCTGGATGATATTACATGAATGTCTTAGCTGCATGAATATATAGGCATTAGCTGTTAGAATGCACTAGGTGATGCGCTTGGGATCATGTAGCCGTAATTCTTCAATACATCAAATACTAATAATAATAATTCTTTAATACATCAAATACTTGCATAATACTACTGACCAGTCACAGGACAGGTCAGGAAACCAAGAAAAAAGCAGCTGTACTGTCATGACGACTTATCAGCTTAATTGCTTATTACATGCGGCCATCCACTATCTGCTATTTATTATAATTTTTTCAATATTTACATAATAAGGACAATATTACATAATTTGGTTACAAATTCTATTTCTTTTGAAGCTGAAAAGTAGAAGAATGAGTGATAATGAACATCTCATAACAGATGATAACTCTTACAGTGGATCAGACAGTGAATCTGAAATTTCTATAAATGATTCCGGAAGTAATGAAAGTTCGTTTTCGGACTTTTCAAGCGATGAGGAAACGGAAAGTTCGGATGACCTAACTCAAGTTCGAAACTTTTGTGAACTAAATATAACAAATCCTCATTCACCTCCACCTCGATTTCCATTCACAGCAAAATCCAGCTGTTCGTGTAAATATTGATCTAAGTAATGGAACTCTACAATTTCTTGATATTTTCTTTGATGATAATCTTCTTGAAATTATAGTTTCTGAAACCAATAAATATGCAGATTGGACCATTCATAGTAGTAATCTACGAAGGAAAAGCAGAGCAAAAAAATGGGAACCAACAACAAAGCGCGAAATTCAAGTGTTTCTTGCGTTGAATATTTTGCAAGGAATTGTGAAAAAGTCTGATGTTGAGCAATACTGGAGTAAGAGACATTCAACATCAACTCCATTTTTTTCCAAAATTATGTCTTACCGACACTTTTATCTTATTTACCGGTGTTTACATTTTTCTGATGATACCGAATTTGATGCTAAAATACACGAGTGTTCAAAACTGCAGAAACTGTGGCTGATCATCAAGCATTTGAATACTCGTTACCGAGAAACTATCACACCTGAAAGAGATGTGACAATCGATGAGAGTTTGATGCTGTACAAGGGAAGATTACACTGGAAAGAGTATATACCTCTAAAGAGATCACGATTCGGCATAAAAAGTTTTATTTTATGTGAATCGAAGTCAGGTTATATGTATCAACTTATTATATACACTGGGAAAGGTACACTTTTTGATGATAATTACCAGCATTTGTGCAAGTCCTCTCAAGTAGTGATGACACTTATGCAGCCACTATTGAATAAAGGATACTGCCTAACGGCAGACATATATTACACATCACCAGAACTTGCAGATATCCTTATCAACCATCAAACATATATATGGAACCCTCAAACTTACCAGAAAGGATGTCCCAAAAGAATTACAGAAGAAAAAATTAAAATTCGGAGAAATCTGTGCGTACCAAAGAGGGAAAGTCTGTATAATGAAATGGATGATAAGAAAGCTGTATCTCTATTATCCACAATACACAACCCTATAATGATTGAAGTGCCACCTTACAAGGATAAAGTCAGAAAGAAACCAAAGGTAGTGATGGAATATAATAATACCATGGGAGGTGTTGATAGAATGGATCAGCATCTCACCAATTATCCAGTCACAAAGAAGAGATGAAAGAAATATTACAAAAAAATATTCTTCCACCTTTTAGATGTATGGCTGTGGAATGCATTCGTTTTATACCAGAAGCATGGAGGAAAATACTTGCATTTGAATTTCAGACTTGATATAATTGATCGCCTGATTGAAAGACACGGGACTGTAAATGAAAAAAAGGACGACCAGGAATTTTGCTCAATCCCTTACGATTGACTGAAAGGCACTTTTTAGAAGTGATTGCTCCCAGCGACAAAAAACTGAGACCAACGAGGCAGTGCTTTGTGTGCTGCTCTAAAAGAAACGATTTCGGAAAAAGAGTGAGAAAAGAAACTAGATATTTTTGTCCCGACTGCGATGTTGTACTATGCTCATCACCGTGTTTTAAAATTTTTCATACAAAAGCTGAATTTTAAAAGACATTAGATGTAAGTATAATAATAAATTCTCTTTTCTAATATCCATTTCTGTAAAGTGTTTTCCCAGATTGCTTATTTCACCGGAAAAAAAGCCAACTTTAAGTAAAAATGTAACTTTTCGTTGTAAATAAAAATTATCATAACTTCATAAATTCAACACTTATAATAGTTTTGACTCTTGATTTGAGTTTCTATAATCAATTTTAAAATAAAATTGTTTTTGAAAAATATGCTTATTTTTTGACACAATATGTCAGAAAAAAGAGGCTGTTAAGTGGTTAAGTAAATACATAATATTTTATTACTTATATGATAAAGTAATGGTATTTATGTTGCCTTTACATTGTTGCAATTTATTGATAAATAGTTTATTAGATTTTAAAGGTTTTGTCTAAAGATGTTACTTTTTAGTATTTATTTGAACCATACTTTAGCATTTTCTGATGTATGTGAGATTACCCTCAATAAGAACAGGGGTTAACAATAACTAAGCTAATTTTATTATGGAATTAATAAGATGAGATTAACATAAAATTAAAACAGAAACTGGTTAACCACACAAAGAATCAATAGTTCATAACAGTTCTTGCACAGCAAGTCTCTCACAGGACTTTCATTTATGAGGGCATAACTAGAAATCTTAAATCCTTTTAACAGTCCATGATATAAACCAAACAGGACATGTCTTGCCTTGAGAGAATACGTCTATTCTCATAACACATTGTCATCTTGGACCCAGAATGTAAGCCTTGAAGGAATCTTCTGCTCACGAGAACACGTCTTGTTCTCATCAGGTCCAGTGATCGCCTACTTCTGCAAGCTGGGCTACGCTGGCATCACCTCGCTGGATATTCCTTGAATCACCATTGGTCGTCGATGCACATTCTTCCCACATGTGTATGGTTGAAAATGTAAATCTTTTGTTATATCACATTCAAACATATAATGATCGATAGTTCCTGTAGCTCCACATGCATCTATGTGATGTAAATTAAAACAATGTAGATATGATGCAAAAGGACCATGAGCTGTTAAAAAGAATGATATGGTGCAGCTAGTTGAAATAAGGTGTCTTGATGGAGTAAGATATGAATTTGAAGGTCCTTCTACTTGTTTCTTCTTGTGACTATTTTTCATTTCAGGGTGATAAAAGATCTTTTTCTAAACCTGATTTTAAATAAGAAATTGGGTAAGGTATGGTTATCAGTTGCATTGTGGAACTGTTCGCTGCTTCTTTTGATTTTCAGTCTGCTATTTCATTGCCCATTGTGCCTACATTAGCTTGTGTCCAATACAGTTTTGGTATCAATTGTTGAGAAAATTTGTCAGCAGTAGTTGAATTTCTTTAATGAGTGGTGAACGATGTTGTCCTATTATAGCTTGTACTTCAGAGGCACAATCTGTGATAATAACACTTCTTTCCAAAAATCGTTTCCTGAATTTTATTGCTTCTCCGATGGTTAGTAGTTCAGTTTGAAAAACTGAATTATTAATTTTAAGTTTGATATTCCAGTTTTTGATTTGGGTACCATTACAGTAAGTACTGCCAACTCCTATTTCTGTTTTAGAACCGCCTGGGTATAATGTATTGGAAGACATTTTAAGGATGTTTAAGTATTAGATTTTCCATAAACACTTGCATGGGATGTACTACGTCAAAGTTATATTTGAGATCATAGTTGGATGGAAGACAAGTATTATTGTTGAAATATCATGTTTGTTTTAGTTTTGTAATTTTTGTTTTAATGGCTTCTTTTTGCATAGTTATTGGCAGGATACCTGTAATAACTTGTAAAGCACTTCTAAGAGTGGTGCGATATGGTTAAAGAAAGCAAAAATAGTCTTTGAAAGGACGTTAGTTGTCTTTGAGCATGTTTATTTAGATTAATTCCCCAGACAGAAGCTCCACGGAGTATTTTTTCTATTACTGTTAAATACCAGATTTTTTGTAACTTCGGTGCTATTCCCTAAGTACTAGCTGATGTAGATCTAAGTGAGTTGGAGAGAATTAAAAATTTTATTTTTGATGTAGTTGATGTGCTATGCCAGGATAGACGATTATCTATTAAAATGCCCAAATACGTTATACTATTTTCAATTTTGATTTTATCTTGTCCAATTTTTATAATAGGATTTTGTATATTTCTTGTTGATGATCCCGGTTTTGGTAAGTATGTAGCTTTGCATTTTAGAATTAAGACTGACAGATATTCAGTTTAACAGTAAAATTTTATTCTATTGGAATTATTGAATCCAAAAGTATGCCATGAAAATACTCCTCATATTTTAGTTAAGCTACTGTCAGTTTGTAAGTTTGATATCCTGTAAGGTTGTAGTGACATTAGGTTATTTCAAAGCAGAAGAGGTGAAAAATTAGCAATATCCTCAGTGGGGTTCGAACCTCAGACACCTTGAATATGTGCAGAGTGTACTGACCACTACACCATGAAGGCGGAAGAAATACCTCATATACCCCCCCTTTTAAATGGCAATATACCCTAGGGATTAGGGGACACAATCACCAAATCCTGGTGGTGGAGAATCATCATCCACCACCCTTTTTAGTTCGGGCGCCACTGTAAAGACATTAGATTATTTCAAAGCAGAAGAGATGAAAAATGAGCAATGCCCTCGCCGGGACACGAACCACGTATTTCTCGAATACGCACCAAGCGTGCTGACCACTACATCACAAAGGCATGCTAAGAAGGTGGGAGAAATACCTTATAAGGTGAATGCTTGATTTTGCGCTTTTTATGCAATATTTTGATTCTTTAAATTCTGTGAAGCAACAGCAATCTAAACTTATAGGATCATGCAACAATTTTTAAATCATCTTAGTCTAGAATTCCTAAGTACGAGTTCACAGAAGCTAATCTTGTTTTTGAAAATATAGTACTCATGGGTCAGAATCTATTATTCCCCGGTAGAAATCCATCAACAACAACAAAATTCAAAGATGTTATTGTACCACTTTTTCTACAAAAGGTGTGATTTTACCAACTGTAATAAACAACTTTGCCCATTTGCTATTGAGGAGCTATTTTCTATTGTACATTTGTCTTAAGTAAACTATTTACTATGCACTGCATTATTCTTGGTATGTTTTGTATAACAGATTGGTTCCAAAGAAAAAAATAAAAAAAGCAAAGAGCTTTTATAATGCCAAAATTGCTAGAATCAGCTAGCATATCACTCACAAAATCATTCGCATTTCTAGTTTTGCTCATCCTAACTAATATACTTACAAAAGTAAAACTGGTTCCCATAATAAGGTAGATAGTGAATATATGCATTGCCACACTACAATTGGAAGAGATCATGCTTTGAAAAAAAATCAAAAAGGTTTTTTTATTTATTTATAATGAAACAGTATACATGTGAAGGCTCACTGTCTTGGGAAGAGTGATTTTAATGAAGCCTTCAACAATCTCGCAATATAGAAAAAAAAGCACTGATAAGTAACTAAAATATTCTTTATGCAATTAGACAATCTTTACAAGGAATTGAATCACATATAAATCTATTAAATTACAACTAAAAGAAATTTTGAGAAAAACAGCTCAAAGAAATGAATAAAAAAATAATTTTTCATATCAAAGCACTTTCAGATAAAATTTCATATAAAAATAAAAATTTTAATACTAATAATAGACAAATACATATTTAAAACAATCAATATATCACAAAAATATATTTGTTACTGAATAGTGTAACCTCCATCTACAGGTAATTGAGCTCCAGTAATCATGCGGGAATCATCACTTAGAAGGAATACAACTGCTTTGACAACATCCTGGGGCTCTGTAAAATATTTTAAATACACGTATTAACATTCAAAAGTAAGTGTAAATTACACATGTAATGCTTTTCATATACAAAACTTACCCATGCAAATTAATAATGCACTAAAAAATTCAATGCATGCAGTAAAACAAATTGATAAAAAATACCAAATATATCTTTACCATGCAATATAGAGGATGATTACAAAATATCTAGCAAAAATGTAAAGGCAGATAGAGGGAACCAAAATAAGGTAATTTTGTAACAAAATCTGTGCATGGAAATGGCATATTAAGATGACAAGTAAAAATATCTTTTGGCATAAACTATCATTATCTCTGGGGATTTTAAGCAATATGCATTGGCTACACGAATGCAGTGTTCATTAGCATGCATTTCATCTATGGTGTTGCAATATGGATTTTGTCTATGGAAAATCTGCATTATCAATGATGTAAATGATAAAAATAATTAGTGATTTTTAATCTGACGGTTTTGATTCTTAATAATTTCTCAAAAGATTTATTTTCTAAATATAAAAATCAGTAACTTTGGTCATGTCACCAACTAATGGAAGTCACAGTTTGTACCTGTCTGAGTACAATCTTATGGTCTAAATCTTCTTGACACAGTTTTAAATTATAATATATCACTGCACAATATAACACTCCTTTAAGTTAGGAAAAAGGCCTCCTTCCACTATTTAGCTTAAAGAAAAGCAATGAAGAATTTATATGGAAGAGGAACAATATACTAAAACAAGAGTTAAATAAATTTACCATTCAGTCTATTATTAAAAGGGTTGCAAACAAAATTACTGAATCATGATTTTTGTTTCAAACATACATTAATTTGATCACAGAGAAGTTACTTATGCAATTTATTAGAATGGACATCTATGAGATAAATGCAAATAGATATATCATTTACTTTCATCTTATAATCCTCCATTTTAATATAAATTCCTGTAAAAATATAGTTTCCTAAGCCAGATCTGCCTTTGTAAGTTTCTACGTCTGTAAAGGAATTTTTGGTACTTCCAATATTATCCCATCGACCAGTGGCAGAAATTTCGGCAACAATTGCCAAACAGCAGTCAAGAACTGTAAAAGATATGTTCACCCACAACTGGCATAAATTGCACTATTTGGCCAATTGATGAAATAATACATAAGCAATGGATTTTTTAATCATCCTGCATTTTCCTACACTATTAATTTACCAAAGGCTCAATGATTAATAAGTTACATTATATATACTATCGTACATAAAATATGTGATTACAGTAAAATTTTACTTCAGAAAAATGCATCATACCGATATAAAAAAAAATCCGACTTTGAATATATTATATATATAATAATCAGTTGCATTTTAATCAGAGAAAATATAAAACATTAATTTATAAAATACATACCACAAAATTTTCCTAAAGGAATTTTAGCTTTCATAGGATCTCCAACTTTAGGATCTCCCCATGCTTTCTCTCCCATTTCTGTCAAAACAACTGTCGGATTTACACTATTGACTCTGATCTAAACATAAGAATATGATTTTTCAAGAACTCATGTATTATTGATGAGCATTTTAAAGACAGAAATTGTTTTCACTTCAATAATCTCCATAATTAAAAGTACTAAAATATGCTATTGAAAGTGAATAGGCAAAATAAAAGAAGGGGAGAAATTTGTTTTGTTTTTTGGAGTTGCATAAGTTTGTTTATTTCACAGCCTTTAATAAATTAGTAGAAATTTAGAATGGTGCACTGTAATTACTAAAAATTAAAAAAATAAAATTTACAATAGCAGTCAAATTAAAACAATAAATAATTGCAAAACATATTTAAATTTGCTTTAAGAGATGTGGGCTTATCATAAATTTAGCAGATGCAGGCTTAAGTAATAAAATAATCACAAATTTTGTTCCAATATTTAGTACCATGTAGACTATTAAATCACATTGTTAGTAATGGGAATATGTTGAGTAAAGCAATAAAATAAACTTGAAATAAATTCTTTTACACAAGAAAAATTTTAACAACATAACAGATTTTTAAAAACACCATTTGAACGACTCTCATATATTAAAATACACATTACTGATCACATTTAAGTGAATAATTATTTTCCCTAAATATGTAGCATCATACTTAGTTAGTTCTTATTGATGAAGATGAGAAGAGTTAGAGAAATAAGTAAGAAATCAGGCATCTGATCAATTTCTTCCATGGTCAGAAAGAAGTCACTGAGGTACAAGAAAATTAAGAATAATTATGCCATATTAAAATTATACGTTTTTAGAAAACTGTGCATTAAGTATATATACAGGCAGACCTCAAGTTTCGAACATAATTGATTCCTGAAAATGTGTTCAAATGTTGTAAGTTCGAAAGTAGAGAGATGTAAAAATAAATAAATAAATAAAATTGCATTTAAAAATATTTATTTATCAATAATATTATTTATTTATCAATGTTCATAAATAAGTTAATGAAGTGTTTTCTTCATAAACTTGTCATGAGTTAGCAAAATATCAGCTCTTTTTTATCTGTTGATAAAGAGTTCTGTCATATGCTACATCTTTTGCATTTGCTCTATGTACTTCACATATATGTTCGCCATTAGGATTACATGCTTCCACAGTAATAGAAAATACGTAAAGATGCACAAAGGCTTCATTCATATTTTTTATTGTTAAAGTCCTGACAATTATATTAGCTTCTTCTTTCTCACTTTCATTGTGTATTTCATTTAACAATTCTTGCTCAATTAAGTATTTATTTGAGGTACTAAGTGTGAGTTGTTGGTTTTTAGCTGAAACAACATAATAAAATGAAGATAAAGTCTTGGTACCTTAATGGTATTTTATTGAATTACAAACAACACTGCCATATTAATACTAAAATCCTTTATTTTTTCAATTCTAGCAGCAAAACTAGTAATTTCCTCTTCAGAAAACAAAATATTACATTCTAAAAAGAAATCAGCATGAAAACTGCTGCCTCGAAAAGATAATACAATAATATGAAAAGTGAACATTTATAATTATTAAAATATTTGTGAGCAACTTTTACATTAATTATTTACATTTTATGCCATTACATTTACGCATTTCATACCATCACAGATTAATCAACTCATTAGCATCTTCGTTGCTGATCTCCAAATTTAGTTTATTCTTTAGGCTAACTACTTTATCTGTAATAGTTTCTAATGCATTTATAATATCACTAATGCTTTGTGTTCATAATTATTTTCAGAAACATTTTATTTCAGTCTGAGAATCTCCAATATTGTTTATATATTATAGTTTTTCCAAAAATTTCTCAATATAAGCCCACCTTCCCTCCAGTTACCTTGATGCACAAAATGAAAAGTGAACCAATCTTTAAATATAAATGTAGTAACTCAAACACTTTTATTTAATTTCCAAAGGAAGGAAAGCAATTCTTTATTTTTCCTTTTCAATGCTCTCGGACATTTGCTTAATTTTTATTTTTGGACACTGACTTTAACTTTAAATCAGAATTTTTCCAATATCAACAAAAATCTTTAAAAAATATTAATGAAAAAGCCACAATATTTACTTGAAATGGACCCAGTTCTAAAGCCATAACTTTTGTCAATTGATCTAATGCTCCTTTAGATGCACAGTAAGTAGCATGTTTTGGTATAGCTACCAGTGCAGCTTGACTAGAAATATTAACTATGGAACCACTTGCACCTCTCTCCTTCAGACTATTTGCAACCACCTGTAACATATAAACAGTTATCTACAAAAAATCTACAAATATCTACCAAAAAAATTTGAATAAAAATTAGCTACATAATCTAAAACTACAGCATTAGAAAAACTTTGAAAAGTAATTTTTATTTCTGAGCTTTAAATGCTTCATTTGTTTTAAATCTAAGAATTAACATTACAAAGGTTGAACACTTTTTATTAAACTAAGTTCAAGCAGAAAAAAAATGGTAATAAATAATAATACTAATAACTGCAATTTCAAAATTTCACATCACAACCTAATGCCTCATAGAAGAGTTTACCATTTTTTTTTTTTTAATTAAAAATTTTAAATCCCTATATAAATGAAAATAAAATTCATTTTGGACCAGTTACATCACATCTTGCTTAGAAACATCTTTTATTAACTAAGATAATGCTACAATTTTTTTTAAATTATCAGTTTTGCATTTTATTAAATATATTTTAGTACACTTGTGTGCAAAATTAAAAGAATTTGCACATATTTCAAATTTCTGAAAAACTAATGGACAGATTTTAATGAAATTTGGTATAAATTTACATTTATAACAGGTAAAGAAGCAATTCAAAAGTCCTTTTACATACGCATAATTATGAGTAGAGATTGTAATGCAGCGATGTCCAAAATCCACTTTGTGATATTGAATTGAGTCTAATATGGGGTATGGTTCTCTCTTACAGCCAGAAAAGTTTTGCAGCATGATGGCATAATGGACAGGAGGCAGCAGATAAGTCTCTTGGCAGTCAATCCCACTTCTGCAGCAAGGCAGTTTTCAACTCCAGGATGGCGAAACGAAACTGCTCTCCCAAGAGTGTCCCAGACATGCTCTATAGGGTTAAGGTCAAGCTATCTGGCTGATCAATTCATGCAGCGAATATCCTCACTTTCCAGGTAAGCCCCAAAATGAACGAACATTGTTTTCCATTAACAGAAAACCAGGACCAACTATGCCCCAGAAAAGTCAAACATAAGGGCTCTTAATATCTCTCACAGGAAGAAGATCTATATGATCTAATCTATATGAAGGAGGAATGGTAGTGTGTTTCAAGCTCTGAGCCGATAGATATCCTGATAATCAGTGCACGAATAATAACGAAATTACAAGAAATCTTATGAGTGGGTAAAAGGTGATTATGTTGCTCAGAGAGTTAAAGATCTTATGCTTTGTTGAATGCTAACACTCTAAAATTAATTATATCTGAGAATACATGAAGACATCTTTTGCATGATAGTAACACTTATTTAGGTAAATGAATTCCAAACACTAATTCCAGATTTATTCCATTATTTATCAGGCAGTTTCTGGGCATGATTTTATCTACAGATTTTATTTTGCAAGATATGATTTTCCATGTTAACTAGAAACAAAACATTTCTTTCGGGAAATTAAAAATTACAGATTAGCAGAATATTGATAAAAATCTGATGGACATGAGTAATTTAATTTTGCTTAATAGCAAAGCTTTACTTGCTATTTTATTGAATTGGGTGAATCTTTACATTATGGTAACTTGGCGATTTTTTGGCAAAAATTTGGCGCTCAACCCTGCTACAGCAACCTGCTAGTTTTGTTTTGGACGCCATTTTGTTTTCACGAAGTAACGGCACGTTTTTTTTTTTTTTCATACTCAACATTTTTTTCCAACAATCTGCTAGCCGAAATACGTTTATGCTAGAACTTTTATGGAACAAAAATGCTTAATCATGACGAAGATTAGGTGCGAAATTGGGAGAAATGTCGCCAAATTACCTGTTACCATATTCTAAAGATTAGCCTTGAATTGTTTTAGCAATTTAGTAGGAATATATTTGTTTGGATAAAGTTCGTTTGACCATATTAAAAAAAAAAAAAAAAAAAAAAAAAAAAAGATGTAAATGTTTTTAAGTACTTTTTTTTCACAACCACAAAAGTTGAAGCTCATGCCAAATTTGTACCAATCATTTCACCAGAAGTTTGGAAGGAACAGATCACTTTTTACTTACTTTAGTTATGTAAGTTAAATAATCAACAGATGCAATTTATGGATAGAAAGAACTTAAACAAAGATGAGCTCACATTTACACCAACCATTTGATGGAAGTTAATAATAAATCACTCATTATTTAATTACATAAGCAACAGCTCCAAGTTCTGTAATGGCTCAGTTATTGCATGAATAATAATTACTATTAATTTCAAGTATTTTATATTTTTTCATGTGTTTTAATTACTTGGTAAAATTAACTGTTTTGTTAATATTCATATTTATATTTCCTTTATGCTAAACAAGCAACAAGTAGTTATTCATGATTATTTTAGCTTCAAAAAAAATTTTTTTTTCTGTTGTTTTTGTTATTTACAGTAGCAGCTCCATTTGATAGCTGATAAATAAATGCAGCAAATTTAGCTATCTGTTATTGATTCTTGCTGCTTCTAAATTATAATTCAATTTGAATACTGTTAGTCAAGACAACAGTTTGGGATCATGGCTATTAACACATACTTTTTTTTAATACCAGGATCTTGTAACTTTAAAAAATTCCCTTGTAAGCTATTCTGCAGAATGCTGGTTCCAAATTTTAATCATTTTTTTCAAAATGTGAATGGAGAAATATCAGTTAAATTATCTTATTAAGGATTAAACAGGATTCACTGAAATCAAAGCAAAGATCTCACTTGTATGTAGCATTATGACTATCTACCACTGGTGCTAAAATATGTTAAAATCCCACTGTTTGGCAAGTTTCTTTCTTTCTTTCTTCTTTTTCTTTTTTGTTAAAAATGTTGACAGAAAAATATGTACTGATATAAATAAATGAATAAAAGTTAAGAATACATCTAATGAAAAAAAAAAAAAAAACTTTAAATTTAATAATTAAACCATCTAAAAAACCCCCTTAAAACTGGAGGGGGGAACCACCACCTTTCGCTTTCAAATAAATTAACTGAACATTCACCTTGACCTTATAATCAGTAATTTTGTTACTTCAGTGTTATTTACATTTGGGTTTGTAATTGCAGATTTATGTGTTTTATTTCGATGATGGAAAATCAGTTTCTTATACAGCATAATGAAGCTAATTCTTACCTAAAATATATAAAAAATGTGTTAATTTATGAATACATTTTTAATGAATCTTCTTCAATATTACTGTTGTCATATTTGTTCAAAATATTTTGTTTACATCAGCACTCTAATCTTGTATATACAAACTGGGAAAACAGTAATATTTCATAACATTCATTAAATTACAGCTGTTCATGTACAGTCTAACAATCTTATGATTAAGACACAATAACACGCCGAATAAATACTAATTCAGAAGTCAAACAACAAAAATTCATTTCAAACAACAAAGATTCATTTGCGGTTTTGCAGCTGAAGATGATGGTTCGGTAAAACCATCGAAACTAGTCCTGTGAAAATTTTGTAAATTAACGCTGATTTTTGTTGTTTGACTTCTGAATTAATCTTATGATATTTGTACAAGATTCTCTACATCATCAAATTATTTAAATATATAAAAATTCTATGATTGCAGAATGTACTACAAAATTGATTTCTTTCAGTTATCACTATGAATATAATTTCTAACTAGTAAAATCTCAAATATAAATAATGCTGCAATCATAAATGATTAAGATAATAATGAAACATACTTGAGAAATATTTATAACAGCTTTCACATTCACCGAAAAACACCTGCAATAAATATTAAAAATTATAATAGAATTGAATGATCTAAGATAAAGAGAAGATTTTAAAATATTTATCTTTTTATTACTTACTAAAACACAGCATAATTTACCTATCAAATTCTTCTTCTGTGACACATCCCACATCTTGTAAAGAAGCAACACCAGCATTATTAACTAAGAGGTCTACAGGTCCTAAACTTTTAATGACATTTTCAGTTTCTCTCCAGTTTTTAATATCGGCACAAACAATTTCAATTTGAGGAGCCTATAAAATAAAAGAGAAATAACTTCATGTTTTATAAAAATTTCAGACAATTAAATTTTAGATGAAAATTATAAGAGACATAAATATGGATGAATTTTCTTCAAAGATATTATGCAGAAAAATTAAACATCATTAAATTCAATTTATTGAATAGCATAAAATCTGATATGCTAATTGATTAGCATAAAATCTGCTATATCTACACAAAATAAGAATGAAAAATCATATCCTAAATAATGAATGTAAAACAATCAAAGTTTAACAAATTTAAATCAGATAAAACAATTTCAGAGAAGGTATTAATATTGTGTAAATGTGTTCATGCATTTCAAAAGATAAGCTGATAGAATTCCATTAGCAGTAATATTAATATTGTGGTTAGAGTTGACTTTAGGGTACCCCTTGTATTATTGAGAAATTGTTTCATTTATCGCCAAGTTGTCTCATTTATGACAACCTGAGTAGCTGAATGCTATGGAAACCCTGATTTGACGTAATTGGTTGCAGTGAATATGAACCATGGGAAAAAATTTGGAAAGTGTGTGTAAGATTTTAGGTAAGGGCTTGTGTGTGCTGGATTAGTAAGTTGTTATTTTGTGGTTTACGCGGTAAATTGGCTGAATGTGGTAAGATTAATTTGAAGTTTCTGTAGGATTTGGAATGAAAGGGAAAAAAGCATTAATTGACTGGTGTGTAAATGAACTTAGTAGCCATTATTAAGTGCCTTGTTTAGAACAAAGAAATGTGTATGGTCGAACATCGGATATTTTTTTACTCTTATTTTTGTGAATTTATGTGGCAATACCAGTATACAGATTCTAGTTCAGATAATTTTAGGAAGTGTTTGGACGCTGTTAAGGAATTTTGTTTGACTGAAAACTTGTAAATTCATAAATAAGGTAAGTAGATATTTCCTTCGTGTAGTGCTAAGATGAATTTCCTTTTTTATGTTATTTCATTGTTTGATTTAAAATGTAGTTTATTCAGATTATATATATATATATATTTTATTGGCTGCTTCTTTGACTTTTTAAGTGAATATAGTTCGATGTGTACGTGGACAAAGTCAAGGGAGTGAACAAAACCTAGTTTGTGCAACTCTCTGATGTTTTTTTAAGTGAAAATAGGTCGATGTGTACATGGATATCGAATTTGTGCAATTCTTTGTCTTGTTATTTTGAGTTTCGCAAAAATCGCCGCTATGCAAGCCAAAATCCCATCTGTCCCAAACTAAAAGACTTTCTGGATTCTTGAAGGCAACAGTACTCTTTTGCTAAACACTTTGTATTCACAGTTTTACACTGTTTTTGTCCACCCATCTTTTCTCGCAAACATGAACAAAACATAACTTAGGAAATTACCAAAGACTTCGCATGTTCGCATTAAAATCATGGTTTTAAATGACTGGAGAAAGAGAAAATAACTGACTTCTAATTTCACGAATTTTTTCAGGTCGAAAATGCGTTCTTACCCCAAACTGTGTCTCACTTTTCTCAAAAATCTGATTGAATACAACCCATCCTGTTTACAGAATTATTTACTCCCTCAAGCATTTCCCTCATCACACAACTATTGCTCTCTTTATTAATATTGTCAATTCACTATTCCATTGTTTGAAAAGCCTGGGATTGGATTATTTAATTATAGCAAAGCACATGAGGGCTATCTGCCTAAAGAAAGGGATGCTTTCACAGAGGACTTTCTAAGGGAAACTGGCTCATATACACGTTACACATGGGGAAAACCACGAAAACGCCCATGCAGCCAGACTGTTTGCGGGATTCGAACCTCGGACCGAACTACCAGTGTTCAGCGTCTTTACCGCTAGGCCACTAGTGGACCTCGAAAGCTTGAGAAAAATCATTGTATGAATGACTTCAAAAGATAAGAGCATCGCATATGCACACATCAGGTTTCTCCATGAAAAGTGTGTGCATTACGTGAAGAATATATCTAAAAATTTTTTTTTAATGTAGCTTGAAATTACAGGTGTGCATTATATGCTAGAACATATGTACTTTTTGCAATAAAAAGTTTTATAATGTGTCATTCTATTTCACACTTTATTTAATAAAATAGCTAAATTTATTGGCTCTTACTCCAAATTAATCTTTATAAGTATAACTCCGTTTCACCAAATAGTGTCAATTAACGTTTTAAATCAAAAATAATATTTATTTCGTTTTTTGCAAATGTAAACAACTCTTTAGAAACAACATAAGTAATCTTTTTGTTGCCATTCTCAAAACAACAAAAAACAAATAAAACGATATTAATCAGTATTTAAAGCTTCTGTGTCACCAGTTATTGGCTCCGAATTAATCTTTATAACTCCATTTCATCAAATATTGTCAATCCACATTTTAAATCAAAAATAATCTTTTGAAAAAATTGAATAATCTTTTTGTTGCCATTCTCAAAACAACAAAAAACAAATAAAACGATATTAATCACTATTTAAAATTTCTGTATTAGTTCAAACCACAAATTTACCAGCTATATTTCTTCAGTTTAGAAAAATTTTACTGCAACTAAAATGAGCTAATGATGAAAACATGTTTTCTTATTGGAAGTATTAAGTTGGGCAAGTCTCTATGAGAAAACTGTTTGGTGCATATTGTCCTAGAATGGAAGAGATCTGAAGAGAAAAACTTTTCTTTTACAGTTACACAGTTTAAGATATAAGAATGGAAATAATATGCAAAGTTAGCTTATGCTGGGCAAAATTGTTCACAAATGTTTTGCATGCATACCTATTACATGCAACACAGTTTAAATAAATTTTATTATTAATTTTCACCCAGTAGATCACTGCCTAATGATATGAAGTTATCTAATACCTTCCAGCATATTTTATTAGAAAATGAAAAATTCTTTTAATACTCCATATAATAATTTTTTTTAAATTAATTTTTATACAGTAATGATATAGCATATTTTTCTGTTAAAACTTACATAATTTTTCTCTGCCCAGTATGGTTAATACCTCCAGATATGGCAGACGTCAATATAGTTTAATGCTTCCCTCTTAAAATCTTCGAAGCATAGAAATCACAATTTTGTTTCTCAATGTGATTCAAAGAAAAGACATTTTTGAGCTTGATTAAAAAAATTAATAAAAATCTAAAAGAGTTCAGATTTTAACGACCACCCAAAAGGGTTTATGAAGATATTTTTATGCTTTCATTGAGCTCGCAGTCTACCAATCTGCTGTTGCTGTCATTCCTGCTTACCCATGACCCAAGTTATTTAAGCATCATTTCATGCCATATAGAATTCAACAGCATCTCTTTCTAAATTTCTGACATAGAGTCTCGCGCACTAGAGATAAAAGTGTTTTATTCTGTACAGTGTTGCCACTACTTGCTTTCAAATTATTACGTCTGATAATCAAAAATTCAATAGAGTTTTATAAAATATGAGATATAAAATTGAAAGTTAAAAATCCAGGCCTCCAGGTACACACGTTTGGGTGGAGGAGGCCTATATTATGCGAAATTTGATGGCTCTAAACACCAGTGCTTTTACTGTGTAAACACGGTTACCGTCTAGCCCCAACAATTTGAAACGTGATTCACCATTTATAGTAGATGACACAAAATCCTGTTTCAAGACTAATGCCCCTTTAGGCTTAAAAAAATAAATAAATAAATAAACAAGCAAGGCAAATAAGGGCAATTTGTTTAAGCTCCTTTTCAATACTAACTGAAGAATCTGAATGAAATCTGAAGGTCTCGTAACTTTTTATCCGACTACTAATACATGCCACTGTGATCCCATGCCATACAGAAAGACATAAATGTGCATGTCGTACCTGGGATTTGTATCTGAAGCCTTTTGGTATGAGAATCTATCAACCTGCACTGACCACTATAACATTCGAAAGAGTTTTACTCAAATAAAATATTTTATTAAATCACAGAAATTGCAAAAATAATCATTATTATTTGTTTATAATTATTATCAAAGTTTTTACTTCTTGCTTATGTAGTTTTTTAAGTTAAGTATATTTCTAAGATGGTCTCTCTTTATACTTTTAAAAATGTTTTATGGGTTGTTAAAGCAAAATTTGAAACTGTAAAACATTAATCTGAGACATTAAAAAATAAACTATATTGCAGAATTAACAGAAAAATACCAGTAGTTTAATATTATTTCACAACGACATATTTGTAAGCTTTAAAGATCAAATTCTGCAATCTGAAGATTACATAAAAAATTATAATATTTTTTATATCTCACTGACATAACATTTAATCAACATTTGCAGAACTTGGCTATGATGCTTACAAGAATCACATGAGAATAAACCATACTTTTAAAGTTATTTGTAATCTTAATTTATAGAAATGTAATGAAAGAACTAAGTATTTACAAAGTTTCGAAACTAAATTTATTTATACTGATATAAATGAATAAATAGTTTTATTCCAGAGTTTATTAAAGATTCTTATAGAAGATCACTGTTGTAATAAAATGTAAATTTACACCAAAAAATGACCCAAGTTATTAAGATTATGATAAAAAGAAATGTATTAACATACTTGAACGGTTCTTGTTTAAATAACAAATAATCTAATGGTAATACATAAAAAGAATAATAATTATATTACAATTGGAACACAATTTGAATACTTTCTAATATACTAAATTCATGACTTATCTCAACAAACTAAACTGGTACCTCATTTTTCAGTTCATCTAAATGAACCTTGGTTCGACTAAGAGCAATAACATCAGCTCCGCGTTTCGAAAGTTCAATAGCAACAGCTCGGCCAATGCCTAAAAGTAAATAAAATGATTAAAGCAGATGAATAAAATTCATTAAAAATACAAAAATATAACATTATTTTCTTTCTGCATATGTTCTTATGATATTAAGAAATGACATAACCTAGTTTAAATAATTTGATTTAGGCAAAGCCCCTAAAGCCTTATGAAATGTCATGAAAAACCAAAAAATTTATAAAAACAACATAAAGCGTTTCATGACAGGGTTAATCTTCGGATTATGGTAACTTGGAAATTTTGTGGCGAAAATTTGGCGACCAACCCTACTACAGCAACCTGCTATTTTTTTGGGGGGGACGCCATTTTGAAGTAAAGGCGTCCCCCCCCCCCAAATTCATGAAGTAAAGGCATTTTTTTTACTGAACATTTTTTCCCAACAATCTGCTAGCCGAATTACGCTTATGCTAGAACTTTTATGGAACAAAAGTGCTTAATCATGACGAAGATTAGGTGCAAAATTGGGAGAAAGTGCAGAATCGCCCACTGCTTGCCACATTTTTAAGAATTGCACATACACAGTATCCATGTACACGTTGACCTATTTTCACATAAAAAAAAAATCCCAGAATTGCACAAAAATGGCATGGCGCACACTCTTGACTTTATCCATGTACACTGCTAAAGTCCTAACTAGTAACCTTTATCGCCTTACCAAAATGTCGCCAAACTACCTGTTACCATATACGGTTATAGAACTTTTAGAATTAATTTTAAACATTAAGATTTAGATGCCTGTTAATACTTTGATATGAACTCATAAAGCAATTTCCCAGGGTTTCCTCTTAGAAAATTAAATATTTAGTTATACACGATGTCCGTGTGCATGCAACTCGGGAAGTTTAAAGTTTGAGAAGTCAAAAATATTCCCTATAAAATTCTGCGTTTTAATATATATTTTTTTAATAGACTGGATACTAGATTCGAAGTTCTTTTATTTCATTGGCTGTATTTTTGTACAGACGAATAAACATATACAGATAGTCAGACAGATATGATTTTACAAAATAATTAGTATTTCTCATCGTGTTTCTGGAAAACAAACGACTTAATATCATTTTACTTTTCAGAAATATGATGCGATTTTAAAAATAAACTTTGCATAATGAATTATACAATAACTAACAAAGAAAAACTGATGGACAGGCTAATGTTTTACCTCGGCCGGCACCTGTTACTAAAGCTCTTTTACCTCGAAAACTAGCTTCCATCTTACTGAGCACCAAATCACGCGCTCATTTCAAAGTCGCTCCAAAGTAAATATTTATACAAATAAAACGTACTAATGCCACAAAGGCGAACAAAGACAAAATATAATAGGAGAAAAGCTTGGAATCATAGCAATAATTAAATTACGCATAAAAAATGTAAAATAGATATATATAAAAATTAAGTAAATATTAAACATTTCTATTTTCGACCAGAAATCGTTTTTTCCTTTAATTAACTAATATTACAAAGCAATTAACGACCGCAAGTTTTCGGAGAATTTCGACACAGATTTTAACCTTCATTCTCTCTTGAAGAAGGGTATCTGGATGCTAGTTTCTTCTCAGCTGTGGCAGTAAGAAGTAATATCAATGACATTATGATAAATTTTAAGCTACAGTATTACACTCAGTTTGTGAGTTGATTAGTGTCTGAAGAAAATGTCTCTTATTCTGGAACTTGATTGGCCTCATCTTAGTTCCATATTCTGACGACATTGTAATATCTAAAGATAATCTTCTTTGTTTGAGAGGAAAGTATTGTTGTCAGGAACATGCTGAGGGTTGAAAATCACGTAATCCTTTCCTAATAGAGGTGCTTTGAACATTCTTGCCTCAACAGGCGCTGCCATTTTGCACGGTCATCTTTAAATCAGAAACATCTGTAACCTTTGTGTGTGCCCATACCTGAATTATCAAGTAAATACCTTAGCATGTTTTAGTTGAGCGGCCTGGAAATGTAGCATATCTCTGTGACAATAGCATCACTTTTAATTACAAAAACCAGGCTTTATTTTATTGATGTTATCAAAAAGCCCAGAACAAAGTCTGTGGGTTTGAAATCAAAAATATACTAGTGGTTGTTCGGAAGCAGCAATCTAAGTAGAAGAGAATGGTGGCTAAATTCTTTGGCATCAGAAGAATCGCTGGTGCTGAACTCATAGAAGAGAGTCACATAGAGCTGGGTCACCGAGGAGTGCTTTCTCAGTGTCCCAGCTCTCAGTGCACGCAGAAGGGCATGCATACATTTTCTCTACTACGATGATGCTCCTTCACATCTCTTCAAATATTTCAGTGATTAGCATGTACTGGACTGCAGATGACAAAGCATTCTATCTGCAGTCCAGATCTCGCTGTGATAATTTCGTAACTTTCTTTTACGTGAACAACAGATTAAAATATGAGAAATTTTCAAATAAAGAGGATTTTCTTATTGCACAGGATAATGAGGGCTCTAAGCTGCATGGAAAAAAAAAAGATAGCTATATGACTGGTTAAATAAATACAGAAGTGTAAAGAGAAAAGTATTTTGAAATATTAAAAAAATAAGGCCTTATTAATGAATTTTCCTAGTGACCTATGTATGAATGTGTCTGAAAATCAATTCTTTAAATCAAATTTTCTAAGAGGCTTTGTGTCGGCAACCATGAACTTTTATAAGACATACTCATAACAACAACTACTACTTTCTTTAACTGAAAGCTTTACCAGTTCTTCTGACCAGTCCAGTTAAATGGTGCTAATTTGAACGATCTTGTTTAAAACCATGCTTCGTAACCCTTCCAAGTACATATAATCCAAAAATTGCATAGATATTCATATAAAAACATTTTTTTCGAAGACTTTTGCAAGGGTAAGTAGATGGCAGCTAGTCTCTAGTTTGATGGTTCATGGACAGTTTTCCGTTTTTCAGATAAAAATGAAGATCGCATTATCTCATTTGAGATTCCGATAATTTTAGGCCTGGCTTTTCTTCTTCCGGAATTTGCAGCTATTTTAACCACAAATTATGACATACTTTACAGCTCCCCCCGGGGGGCGTATTTCCAAACCCTACCCCACTTTTCGAATTTTTGACATCATGGTACTATTTCTTTACGTGAAACAACAAGATTTAAAAATATGAGAATTTTCAAATTTTGATTTTTTAAAATTAATTTGCTCTTAAGTGGAAAATTTTTCATTTAGTCTAGGATTATTTTAAAATTTGTGTTGTATACATATAGAATGCATTAATTTTTTTTCCAGCAGTATTGGTTTAATGAGCAATTTTTTTCTTTCATCTGCGTAGTCAATTTTTTGAGTCGAGTTAATATTTTAGTAGTGCTTTTTTTAACGTACTGAAATGCCGAAACGGAAAAGAGGCATTACAGGAGATGCATCAAGAAGACGAAGAGCTGAAGCACAGAGTTTACGGCGAGCTGCAGAAAATGAAGAAGAAACTGCTGCGAGACTGAGCACGCAAGCGCGTCGGCAAGCAAACCTACGCGCTCAAGAAACGGAAGAAGAAACCGCTACGAGACTCGGCAGGAAAGCTCAACATCAAGAAAATTTACGTGCTGCAGAAACGGAACAAGAAACCATTAGGAGACTCAGCAGGCAATCCCAATGTCAAGAAAATTTGCGTGCTCAAGAAAGTGAAGAAGAAACCAGTAGGAGGCACAGACTGGACTCTCATCGTCATCGTCAAGTTCGAGCGGAAGAGTCGGAAGAGGACGCTGCTACACGAAGAACGCGAGACGCTGCACGCCACAGACAAGTCCTATCCGAAGAAACAATGTCCGTACGAGAAGACAGGCTACGCATGAATGCAGCACAACGTTCACGCAGCACTCTTCACAATGCAGGAAGATGTGGACTCGAAGTTTATGTTGAGCAACACAGCGCCGGTTCAATGGAAGCTTCCTGCGATCTCTGCAACGGATTGTTCTTTACGGGAGAAAGGAATGCAAGAGGAAGATACATGCACTGCTGTAACAATGGGAAAATTGTCGAAGCTGAAAGAAGATATCCAGAAGAATGGCACAATTTAATGAATGGGAACCACCCGTTTTCTGAAGAGTTTTTTGCCAACATACGTACTTACAACTGCCTGCTCAGTTTTGCTTCATTGGGTGCCAATATAGAAATGCCTTCGGGTTCGGGTCCCTACTGCTTCAGGATTCACGGTGCCATATATCATCGAACGAGCCACCTTCATCCGCCTCATCCCGGTCAAGAACAGTATGCTCAGCTGTACATTTTAGATTCGGATCAAGCCCTCAGGCAGAGAATGAACATATTTGGAAATGTTGCCCTGAACGCCGAACTCCTGAGACAGTTGGACACAGTTTTAAGGAACGTTAATCCATATGCGGAAGCCTACAAGATGCTGAAGGAATTCGAAGAAGAAACTGTACGAGAGCAAGGTGCCGAAACTGCTGCGGATATCCGCATGTACATCAAGGGTGAAAGTGTTGCTGCAGGCGAGCACAGGGGACGTTACAATGCTCCGAAAGAAAATGAAGTTGCAGTCGTCTTCAAGAGTACGGACGGCGCTCCTCCATCGAAACCGAGACATCGTGATCCATCCGAGAGGTGGCGGTCTCATCAACATCAGTACCTTAAATCCCAACTTGGAACCCATGACGTACGTACTTTTCTTTCCTCACGGCGAGCAAGGATTCAGAGTCGGACAGCAATACACAGAGTTACAGTTTTACAGTCACAGGGTGTCCGTACGACGAGATTGCTACAACCCGATTTTGTATGGCCGGAAATTGTTTCAGCAGTATCTCGTGGATGCATACGTAAAAGTTGAAGGCAACAGGATTGCGTACCTCCGGAGCCATCATCAGACGAATCTGAGAGTGGAAACTTACATGGGTCTTGCCGATCACATTTACAGAGTTGGTCAAGAGACGGGCGTCCGCCCTGGAATACCGGTTATACTTCCGTCAACGTTTATAGGAAGCCCTCGCTGCATGCAGCAAAACTATCAGGACTCGATGGCCATTGTGCGCGACTTTGGTAAACCGGATCTGTTTTTGACTTTCACGTGCAACCCTAAATGGCCGGAAATAACAGAAAACTTATTCCCAGGACAGAAGGCTCACGATCGCCCGGACATCGTTTCGAGGGTATTTGACCTGAAGAAAACGGCTTTGATGCAAGATTTGACAAAGAATCACATCTTAGGTGCGACCATTGCAGATATACACACGTCATCGAATTTCAGAAGAGAGGATTGCCTCATATGCACCTTTTGTTGTTTTTAGCGGAAGAAGACAAAATAAGAGATGCAGAGTGCATCGACTCGCTGGTGTGTGCTGAACTTCCAGATGCTACTCGACATCCGGAGCTACACAACATTGTGAAGTCATCGATGATTCACGGACCCTGCGGTGAACTGAATAGAAACTCTCCCTGCATGAGTGATGGTGTATGTTCGAAAGGATTTCCGAAACCGTTTCAGGCAGAAACTAAAGAGAACGTGAATGGCTACTACCCACTCTACAGAAGAAGGGACGATGGAAACTTTATCGTGATCAAGGGTCATGCCATCGATAACAGATGGGTCGTTCCTTACAATCCGTATTTATCGAAAAAGTACAACGCCCACATAAACGTTGAAGTATGCAGCTCCATAAAATCGGTGAAGTATTTGTTCAAATACGTGTACAAGGGTCATGATGCAGCTAAAGTTGTTCTGGAAGAATCTGGAGATAGAACTTTAATGTGGGACGAGATCAAATGCTTCTTAAATGCAAGATACGTGTCTGCCCCTGAAGCAGCGTGGAGGCTGTTTGAAAAAAGAATGCATTCTAAGTCGCACTCCATCATACGACTACCGGTTCATTTGGAAAACCTGCAGCCCGTCTATTTTGCCGAATCCGAAGAAAGGAATGCTTTCCAGAGAGCTGCCGAGAAAAATACCATGCTCACCGGATGGTTTGAACTGAACAGGACAGTTCCCGAAGCGAATGGTTACCTGTATGCCGAAATTCCTAAACATTTCACCTGGAGGAATCATGCCTGGCAGACACGAGTTAGACTTGGAGATTACATCATTTCAAGAATGTATTCTGTTAGCCCGAAAGATGTTGAGCGTTTCCATCTGAGGTTGCTGCTGTGTCACGTTAAAGGAGCGAAGAGTTTTGCCGACTTAAGAACTTACGAAGGTGTGGAGTATTCAACGTTCAAGGAAGCCTGCCGTGCAAGGCATCTGCTGCAAGACGACGAAGAATGGAAAAATACTCTGGCAGAAGCATCAGCTTTTCAAATGCCACCGCAGCTAAGACAGCTTTTTTGCTTCATCTGTGTTTTTCTGCAACCCTGCGGAACCCGTCGCTTTGTGGAATGAATTCAAAGAGTCCCTTTCTGAAGATTTTGCGAGATCTTACTCCTTAGAAGACAGTTTCAGCCTTGCACTGAGAAGTATAGAAGACCAGTTAGAAGTGCACAATGTTTCGCTATGTTCTCTTGGTCTCTCCCGCAACCAACATTGACTGATGCTGTTTCTCTCGAAGTCCCGCAGTTCGATGTCCAGTATGAAAACGAACAAGCCGAAGTGTTGAACGGGATGTTGAATCCTGAACAGAAATTAGTTTACGACTTGGTTTTGGAAGCTGTACGAGATGAGAATCCTAACACACCGAAGACATTTTGTGTTAATGCGTTTGCCGGAGCTGGAAAAACTTTCCTTTTTAGGACGATCCTTCATGCTGTTCGAGGAATGGGCCACGTTGCCATTCCCGTTGCGTGGACAGGCATTGCTGCTGTGCTGTTGACCGGTGGAAGAACTGTACACTCTACTTTCAAGTTGCCCGTTCCACTTCTGGAAAATTCTTCGTGCCGTGTGAGACAAGATAGCGCTGAAGGAAGGTACTTGAAGACTGCGAAACTTTTCATATGGGATGAATGCACCATGACGCCTCATTACGCTTTGGAAGCTGTCGACAGATTGCTGAGAGACTTGACCGGACTGGATGTTCCTTTTGGCGGTAAAACCTTAGTTTTAGGAGGTGACTGGAGACAAACATTACCTGTTGTCGCACATGGAAACCGAACTTCTGCGATCGAGAGCTGCCTCAGGAACTCCTTTTTGTGGCCACATTTCAAACAATGCACGCTTTCCACCAATATGCGATTGAATCCGGAAGAACAAGAATTTTCAGAATGGCTTCTGCAGTTGGGAGACGGTCGTCTTAAAAATGACAGTGGCTTGGACGAAGACATTATCGAAATTCCATCTTTGTGTGTGGTCAACAGATCGATAGTAGAAGAAATGTTTGGCTGCGGTAATGAATTCGACTTACAAGACTTGGCCAGTAAAGCGATTTTATGTCCAAAGAACGAGGAAGCTCTGAAGCTTAATGAAGAAATTCTTTCCACGTTTCCAGGTCAAGTTTTCACGCACTACAGTGCAGACTCGGTTATTTGCGATGACGAAGAAGAACAAGAAACGTATCAGCTGGATTTCATCCACAGCCTGACGCCTTCTGGAATGCCACCTCATCGTCTGAATTTGAAAGTTGGAGTTATAGTTATGCTTCTACGAAATCTACATCCATCGGTTGGACTCTGCAACGGAACAAGGCTCATTGTGAAGAGAATTATGCCAAACGTTTTAGATTGTGAAGTCATCTCTGGACAGAATGCTGGATCGAGAGTTTTCATTCCACGTGTTGAACTTTCACCATCAGATTCAAACCTCCCCTTTCAGCTCAAGCGAAGACAGTTTCCCATCAGGCTTGCATTTTGTATGACTATTAATAAGTCACAGGGACAGACACTTAAGAAAGTTGGGAATTTATTTACCGCAACCAGTTTTCAGTCATGGAATGCTTTACGTAGCTTTTTCAAGATGTTCGTCTATGAGGAATGTTCGTGTTTTAGTGAAAGACACCAAGAAGCAAGGCCGTTTGATGCCCGCATGTTCTAAAGTATTCACAAGAAATATTGTTTACAGGGAGGTTCTGCAGTAAAAAAGTTACTCGAGACATTGAAACAGTGAGATTTTTGCAACACAAAATGAAGTTAATCAAGCCAAAGCAAAAATGAAAAAGATTTGAGGTTTTTGGATGACTGGGATAAATTGAAGCAAGTCAAGATGAAGCTGAAACAGTTTGAGAATTATGAATTAGTCGGCTTTTATGTCTGTCGTTACAAAGTGGAATTTGGCGTAGTTAGGCAATCGGAAGCTGTATTATTTTTTCAATGTTGTAAATATTTTTTATAAATTTTCCTTTTCAGGTCTACATACAATTGCGTTCATTAATTTTAAAACATTTTATGTATTTTTCTTTTTTAGGTATTTATGGAACTGATTTCAATCACATAAAAATATTTCTTTTTCAGGTGTATATAGAAATGATTTGATTCAAATTAAAATGTTTTTATACATTTCTTTTCAGATGTACATAGAACTTGTAAATACTTTTTTTCAGGTGTATATAGAAATGATTTCATTCAAATTAAAATGTTTTTCTTTTCAGGTGTACATAGAACATGCTAATTTTCCTTTTCAAATGTAAATAATTTTTCTTATTCATTGCATGCATTTTTGTAAACACACACAAATATATATATATCTTAATTGTGCGTGTGTGTATATATATATATACAATTGCATCAATATATATATATATACATATTTTATATATAGTGATGCAATTTTGTCTATGATTCTGTAACAGCAGACCAGGGAAGGGGCTGATACCTGGGAGAAAAAATAACCCCCTGGTCGATGAGGTTGCAGAGGAGACCCCAGGTGTCAGGCAGTTTATGCCGTCAAAAGCCCACCAATTTTTTCTGTTTACATTTTTTTTTTCTGTTCAAGTTTTTTGAGTTTAATATAAACTTATAACTAAGAAATTATTATTATTATTATTATTTCTTTTCAGATAAATACGGATTGTAGCTCGCCCATCTGGCGTACTTACTCGGTAGATTTTAAAAATTATTTTCTGTTTTTCTTTGAACTATTGACGCAATAACTGATTTCATTCATATAAAATATTTTGTTTTGCATGATATTTAATATACTCAAGGGATAGGCCTGTAATGTCTTTCCCAAAGTTGTGTCTTTTATAGACATAGGTACAGTAAAATATTTTACGGGTTCACACGACTGACATTTTATGAAACGTTTGGAAAAGTTTCTGTGTGCTGCCCTACTGTGTTATCCAAAGAACAACAGTTGCAGTAGTTGATGATAATGTGTGTACAGCCCCAATAATGGGAGACAAGGACATTTTGGAGTTTGTTCAAAGCTAAAAAAAATATCATTGATGCAGATTCCGACAAAGAAAACGAAATGAATAATGCAGTTCTTGTGGATGATTTTGTTTCATTGATTTTTTATTAAATACATGCCTATATGCATATCTGTGCAAATAAAATGTACTCTAATAAACTTAATTTTGTTGAAAATATGTTTTTTTTTTTTTTTTTTTTTTTTTTTTTTCAATATCCTTTAACACGAAAAAATTCTTCAGTCCCTTCAGTTTCGTGTTAATAATAATGAAAGTGAGAAAAACAATTTTAATCATAGATTTAAAATTATTTTTCTGTTTTTGATTTAAATATAAAATATTTCCACAAATTTCACACAGAAACTATTTTAGACACCAGCAAAGAATTGAGTGGGTGCAGCCCGCCCATCTGCAATACTTACTCGGTAGATTTTTAAAATTATTTTCTGTTATTTATTTATTTTGAATGCGATAAAAACAGGCGACTAACTAATTTGGTTTATATGTATGTACATATATATTTTCAAATGTATATACAGGGGATATTGGACACATAAAACACTATTGACACAATATGAGCTATATCCACACAATGATGGAACAAGGTGTGCAGCAGATGCAAGACATGGGCATGATGATTCACATGATATTTGATATACTCGAGGGATAGGACTGTAATGAGCAAATGAGTTTGTTCCACAAAGTTGCGTCTTTTACAAACACCCAACATTCGAATCCCAGTGAATGGGGTGGCTGCATGGGTGTTTTTGTTATTTTCCCCATGCCATACGAGCCACTTTCCTTTAAAAAGCCGACAAGAAGGCATCCCTCCCCTTAGGCAGATTGCACTCGAGTGCTTTGCCGTAGCTGAATACGCTACACCACTACATTACACACGGAAGTAAAAATGACACTTCCTGTGGTCGTTGCCTAATTATTCAAAATATTTTGATAATTGTTATCTGTTCTTAGAATTTCCATAGCATTGCACATATTATTTAACATTCTGTTATTTACCAGCAATTTTACAATCTGCAAGTTTTGGTTTTACAATTTTTGATTTTTTAAAATTAAAACCTTCTTATACAATTTGCAAATGAGTTCAATAGCCAAACATTCCCTTTCATATTACATCTGAAGAACTGTTGTAGCATTATGCAACAAACATTTCGCTGTTCATTAAAATATAGGAACACATTTCACTCACATTTTGATTAGAATTTGATGTAGATTGAAAAGTTGTTTTCAACTCAGCTGCCTTTACACTCGCAGTTGTATTCACAATTGATTTTCACGCTGGACTTTTATCATTTGTCATATCCGCTAAATTTTAAGTGTCAGCAATTTTTTCTGCGGTAACAGCATCTACAAATGACCATCTGCCATGAATATTCTTCACACATGCACGAGTTTTATTTTAGAACCGCTGATGCTTTGGGTTTATGATACTACTTGCTAATAGTATGCATTATGATAGCATAAGTAAAAAAAAAAATTTACCAGTATAATCAAAATAGAACAAATTCACGACTAAAATATTATCAAGAG